GCGCCATATTGTTACGAAGTGTCTGGCGCGTGGCTCGACGGGGCACACGTTTGTTTTGACCTCGGCCAATACGGAGACAGCGTTCGAGTACGAAATCTGCGCATGTTGAAGCGGCGATCACGATGTAACAATAGGGCCCCCGAAAAGAGCGGAGGGCACTCCATTAGAATAGGAAGTACCCAAAACCAGACGTAGAGGCCCCCACGATCGAATGGGCCCGAGCATCTTGTCAGATGGGGCCCCGACAGCAGTTTAAGGCCCTCCATTCAAATAAGAGGCATCTAAAACCCATGCGGAGGGCCTCGAAAGATGGAGTGTACCCGAACAGGTCATCGGATGACCTCGATACGGGTAGAGGGCCCTAAATTCAAACGCCGAGAACCAATGTGCAGGGCCCACCAGCAATCCGGTGTGGCCGGGGGGCGAACAGAGGGGCCCCCGACAAGTGCCGTAAGGCCCCATTCAAATAGCACGTACCTGAGGCCCAATAGAGAGCCCCCCGAACGATCGAATGTGCCCGAGCAGGTTATCAGATAGCCCCCCCCCCCCCCCCCCACAGAAGTGTGGGCTCCGCATTCAGAAAATAAGTACCAAAAACCCAGTGTAGACGGTCCCCGAACGACTGAGTGTAGCCAAGTAGGCAAATAAGATGAGCCCCCGACAAGAGTGTAGGGCCCTAAGCAAGTGACAGAATTGGAAACGCCCTAGACCAATGTAGAGGACCCATGAGCATATCGCAAGTGTGTCGGTAGGTTAATCGATACCCACGTAAAGGGCCCCTGAGCAACCGAGAATACCCCGGCAGGTTAAGGTATGGGACTCTGGCTACCGCTCAGAGAGCCTCTCTGGCGAACGGAAACAATCTGTGGAAGGGCCCGTGATTGACAAGAGTTCCCCGGCATGCTAGCAGGAAGGGCCCCAACAACATCGCAGGGCCCTCTGAGCAAATGCAAAGAAATTGCAATTGCAAATGCAAAGGACAATGTGGAATGCTTCTAAATGACCGAAATGAACCTGCAAGGGGCACATACGTTCCCCGGAAGCAGCATGGGACCCTAGGCGGTGTAATGGGCTCAAAATTTCCAGTTGACGACTTTTCCAATCATTGAGTAATTTTGGGGACTTTTCATAGGCCTTTCACTTTCGCTTATAACTGTTCTTGGTGGCCTGAAAATCCAGAGATACCCAGTTTTCCTGAGTGTTGTGTTACAAAACTGCACCTGTTCGCACGGTTATGCCCCCCCCCCCCCCCCCCGGAGCCAATTGAATCCTTCGGGGCCCAAGGGGGGGCGTGCCCCGTGTTCCCCCCTCTCTGGATCCGCCCCTGCTTGTTACCTTACGTTTTGGGAATACTTTTGCTATTTTCCACCTTTTTGTCCCTTCCCAAACTCAGTTTGCCCTTGATATCGGACTGCGTGGGAAGAAAGTGATTGATCTTAAGCCTAAAGTGTCATCCAGGTGACCACGACGGAATCTCAAATGGGAGCACCGAAAATCCGATATGGGACCCGAAGGGCTGGCTAAAGGTCATTGAGCAGGCGCGGGTCGGATCCTCAAATACCAGCTAGAGCGTTGGTTGCACCGATTGGGCCTCGGCCTGGACCTGGGAGCCCATTTCCCAAGCAGGGACAGGGTCAGGACCCGCGATTCACATTGGTCAGTGCACCCCGAGCTAATGAGGGCCCCTGTGTCGGCCAGGGGCACGCAGCGCCTAACCGGAGGTTCGGGGTTGACAAGGGCCCCCGAGTTGGTCAGGGAGTGTGCGAGGGTGCCTGAAGAGGGACCGATGTGCCCTTCAAGACTGACGATAAACGGGCCGATGGGAAGGCTGAATGGCCGTAAGGGTTGAAAGGTTGCAGGTCAGTCCTGGCCTGTATGGCTGTGATCCCAAATATCAGCCAATATGCCTCTTTCGCCGATTGTGGACCCCTGGGACAATGCGGGCACCTATTTCGGCCGGAGACCACTACACCGAATAGTCCGCTCCGTGTTGCTCTGAGTCCTGGGCCCCCATTTCTCTAGCAGGGACGAGGCCGAGGCCCGCGATTTGCATTGGTTGGAGTCCCTACAACAATGAGTAGTCTTTTGGCGGTCAGGCTCTCAGAGTGTCCAACAGGGGGTCCTATGACGGAAGGAGTCCGGAGTCGGCCAGAGGTGACCCGGGGCCATTGCGGGGCCCTTCAACCCGTTTTAGCCAAGGGTCCGTTGGCCAAACACGGGTCTCCGTGCCAGTTATTGGATCACCTACGGTAATCAGAAATCTTGTTGCCCCAATGAGAGCTCTTGCGCCTATTCCGGGTCAAATGCCCCGGCCAGAAGCCGCCAAAGGACCTCCCGCGCCAGGGAGAGCACCAACATAGGAAGTACATCTGTGAGGGCCTCCGGACGAACCCATCAGGCGAACCCGCCTCCATGTCTCCAGAATGGCAGCTGGTAGACACCCCGGGCTGGGACGGGATGATCTTTAAGCAATTGCCCGGAAGGGTCGTGTGCATCTAACTTTTCGCTAATGTTTACGCATTTTACGCATTACATTACACATAATGTTTACGCAGTCACACATTTTCAATCAATGTTTACACAAGTTGCTGGCCTCATTTATGTTTATGGTCGACCTTCACGGGATCCTCAATATCTCTCTATGGTGTGGACTCCCTCCCTCTGGAGAGACGGAGTCCTCTTTATCTTAAGTCCTTCCTCGGGCGTTAGAACCTGTGCTGCTGTCCGGTATGGAAAGCCCAAATCAGGATCCATTCCGCTTAGAAGTGAAGCGAGTTGGCCTCATAATGCCGCGCCGATGGACCATGAAGCCACCGACTTAACAGCGGTCGTCGTCGAGATTCGAGCCTGGGCCTACCGCGTGCGAGACCAGCATGCTAACCGTCCATCCACCAGAAATGCGGGTCCCGCGGCCGAAAAGTTGTGATCACAGTAGGACTGGTTCAAAGTGAGTTGATGGATTTCGTGATCGTTTGATGCCGTCACGCATGGAGCCGACTTTTCGCACGGGATTCTGCATATTTGCACTTGCTTCCCTGTACAGCTGGCAATCCGCGTATGCTTGACACGCACAACCATCTGAAGGCTTTTGGAGGGTGTGTAAGCCCGTTGCGTAGCCACCCTCCATTTGTGAGGGGGTATAAGCCCGGTGCATAACCACCCTCCGTTTTGGAGGGTGCCCAAGCCTGGTGCGTAGCCGCCCTCCGTTTTGGAGGGTGTGTACGCGCAGCCCCGTAACAAAACACCCATTATGTTACGTAGTTTCCCGGCTCACTCTTTGCTGAATAGCCCCAAAGTGCTTTTTTCAGTTTAGGAGACTACATTGCCCACCTGATATAACCAGATTTAGAATGGCTTATGAATCTGCATATTAACTATAGGTTGACGTTACATTACGAAAACTTTCTGCTGCAGTTCTTCAGTTTTGCAGGTGGTTGCACGTCCGACTGTGAATTAGTGTTGTTCGTGACGTACGCTTATCAGCTGATAGCTTCGGGCTAATTGTGACGCGGCAGTGACTTGTGTCGAACCCAGTGGACCCTCGTCACTTGTGCTCGGCGTATCTTCGATGGGCGGTGCTTACAGGTGGTGTTTGAGTTCGATGGCTCCTTTATAACATGGGGAGCCGTGATGTGAAAAGGTACGCTTGCCATTGGGACGGACGTTCAGGAATACAGCTGTTTGTGAACACGGCTGCTTGGTGTCAAAACGTGACGAGTATGGATTATACCGACGCATGCACCATGTTGTGTAGGATGCATTGTAAACATATGGATGAAGAATGGAGATAGATGTCGTGCACAGTTCATGTTGGTTAACCTGAGGCTTGCATTTGCTGTGGAACGGCATTGTTTTGCAGACTCATTGCTGATAGCAAAGCATCCAATAACTGGTATGAGGTGATCAGTAACATTTTCTTAAGGTATCTTGTCTCCTCACTGTTACCACTCATCTGTTGAATAAAAACAAGATATGGGCACCATGTGACCATTGCAGTTAGTGTTCCTTTAAGCCCAACTCATCATCATTAATGTTTGTTTTATATTCTCATGTTGAATGTAATGTTTGGCCTGTGGTGGTGCATGCAAGGAGCAGTGTAAGTAAAAATCAGTGTAATCATCTATGAGTCCACAGTGCTGGATGAGTGCCCTTATTTTTTTCCTGGATGTGATGACTAGCTGCAAAGGCATTGCTCAACACCAACATCACTCACAGTTGAGCATGCAATTCAACATTAGAAATGTTATATTTCATTTTTGGTGGATGATTGGAATGTAGCATTGATATATTTTCATATAATATAGATATTTGTAATGGGAAAAGGTACAGATATGTGTGTGAATGTTATTTTGAGCATCTTTTAGTTGGATAAAATGTTGGCACTACTTTTTGCCCTGGTGGAATTTCAAGCTAACAGGCGTTAAGAAAAGTTGTTTCAGTATGCATTTATTACTTGGCCATGCATTGCCCATGGATTCTGTCATGTGCAAACATGTCCTAAACATCATTAAATTGAAACTTGTTTATATGCATCATACATAATGTACATTACATCAGGAAGAACACAAAGATCTACAGGCCCAACAACTGCACACTTATGGCTGAGCTGCTTATGCACTACCATCAATTTCCTTTGTTACATCTCAACTGATTCTAAGTGCTCAATGCTGGTTTATAGGAATTTTAACCAATTGTGCTTTGTAGTGGTTGTGAATAGGGATCCAAGTTTGAAAAGTGGGCTAGTTAATTGTGATTGTCTTTTTTCAGTCATGCAGTGACAAGATATGCCAACCTGAGCATATGCTGATGCTTCAGCAGTGTGGCCAGAAGTCACCAGCAGTGCCTGCATGCTGTGGCAAGATATCACATTCACAAGATATCACATCCACCTACCATGGATCTAACATTTGGCCTTCGCCCAGAGTTCTCCACGCGCTTCTTCGCGGCCGAGGTTTGCGTGCGCGTCTTCCTTCTGCTCGTGTTCCTTAAGACCGAGTTGACGGATCCCGTTTGTGCGCGAGATTCGGCCAGAAGAGGCGTGGATCTACAGCTACCCGCACGTGGACAGCTATGTGCCCACTTCAGCTCTGTGGTTTCTGGTGTTGGCCGGGCCAGCACTCGCCATCGGCGCCTGCTTCCTCATCTCGGGCGACTGGATCGACCTGCGCGAGGCCAGTCTGTCGGCCTCGCTTTCACTGCTGCTCACCGGTATCCTAACCAACTGCCTGAAGCTGGCGGTGGGCAGGCCGCGGCCCGACTTCCTTGCTCGCTGCCACCCGGACGGGCGGCTGCGGGCCGACCAGCCGTGCACCGGCGACGCGCACGCCATCGCCGACGGACGCAAGAGCTTCCCCAGCGGCCACTCGTCCTTCTCCGCCTGTGTCGCTGTCTTCGTGTTCCTCTACCTGGCCGGCAAGCTGGGCACGTTCACGGAACGCGGCCGCCGCCAGTCGCACAAGCTGTTGGTGCTGTTCCCGCTGCTAGTGGCGGCGCTGATCGCGGCCAGCCGCACCTGCGACTACCACCATCACTGGCAGGACGTGCTGGCCGGCTGCGCGCTGGGTGCCGTCGTCGGCTGGGTCGGCTACAGCCATTTCTACCCGTCTGTGTTCGCGGTGGCCGCCGACCGGCCGCACTGCGTGGCCGGCGTGGACGCGCCGCTGCCTCTGCACGTGACTGACACCGTCGACACCGCAGTCCCCGGCGAGGTCAAGTGGATGTGAGGGAGATGAGCAATCTCGGAGCTGTGTAGTTACGTGGAGACGTAAAATGTATTTTTGTAAGCATGGTATGGTATGGTGCTGGGAGCAATATCGGAGCTCTCGAGTGTGGACCGCATTTTCTAGGTGTGGGGACAGTGTGCCGCGCTTTGGTCGAATGATGTTGATGGTTTGGGTGTTGTGTTAGCGTATGGCCGCTGATGTGCTGTTGGGAGGCGCTAATGGTCGTACGGTTATCGACCATTGACCAATGTTTGGCCGTGTGGTCTGTGGTGCTGGTATGTTCAGCACTTCAGGTATTCCACTCCTCCACTTATATATGTGGAATAACTTATGCATTGTTGCCACGAGTGCGTAAGCTGGGCGTCACAATGTGGATTCCGAGGCACTCGTTCGGGGCCCACGGAGTATTGTATGTCCACATTCTTAAATGGCAGGAGCACCGGAAGTCCTCAGACATTGGAATGACCGGAAACAGTTATTTGTGTTTTCTTTCCATTCTGCGCCCACAGGGATGATGCAAAATCTTCAGAAAGTCAGTGGAGGCTCAGTCCCGCTAATCTAGCGCCCTCGCCCATTTTTAAATGGCTCCCAATCTGCAACACAGTCGTTTTCGTATTGCCGCTAGACCATTTGTAAGAACGCAATAAACGCTAAATCAGCCATTGGCGGGTGTACACACGTGATCTCCAGGGTCACGTGCTGCCCCCCCCCCCCCCCTACCGCTGTCGGGTGTCGTTCATGTATTAAAAATGTGTTTGAATACATGTTCACAATAAAAATTTCGGATCGACGAGTAAAATTAAAGAAATCAGGAAGATGGATGCTCTTTTACGCCACACAACGAATCCCCGCCCCCGTTCATTACGATTTCCTCCATACGCCCTTGTTGGTAGTCTTTACTCTGCACGCACTATCGCTTGACTCGGATGCGACCAGCGGTTGTCCGCAGAGAAGGGCAGACCGAAATAAATAACCTCGCGAGGATGTGACGTAAAAGTCGATTGTTAAACGTGACCGAGAACACGAAGGGAAGCCGTAGCAATCAGCGCTGCCGTAGTGATGGCCACAGGCAGGGGCGAAACGCTGACCGGGTTGCGGCGTGGCAGCAGCCCTAAGCATCGCTGACCGATGTCAGCTCAGGTGTCTACACGGCGTGGTAACGGCCCTAAGCATCGCTGACCAATGTCAGGTCAGGTGTCGACGCGTGTTGATGGACGACTTACCATTGATAGCGAGATTATGTGGGGACAGTGACAAGAGGTCGTGACCAGACTTTACACTATACAGAAAGGGCTTGGCTTGCGTGTTGATGGACGACTTACCATTGATAGCGAGATTATGTGGAGACGGTAACGAGAGGTTGTGACCGGACTTTACACTATACAGAAAGGGCTTGGCTTGCGCACGTTTGGTAAATACTGCGATGTCTTTCGCGGCATGGGGTGAGCTGAGCAATACGTGTCTGTTTTCGATCCTCCCGTCCCGTGCCGTCTGCTCACGTCTACGTGGGTTGGGCGGTGGCGTCCAGGGGCATAGTTCCCCAAAATAAGTAGGGGAGGCTGGGCTGTGAAAAATAACGAAGCCTGACGAAGTCGTGGTAGGAACCCTTGGGCCGCCCAGAAATGACCTTACGCATGGAGAGAGAGTGTGTGCGTGTGCGTGTGATGGAGCATAAGATAAAACCAGCAGGGAGCAGGGGTGTCTAGACAGCGTAACGTCACGCTTGGGCGTGCCCGCAAATCACGTTAAGTTATTACGGCTGGCTACTGTTGACTTTTTCTCAGAACGAGAACGGACCACGGAGTCGCGCGCCCAGTCTTGTTTAGTAATACTAGCTCAGCTAATGCCACAAAGGAACAGGGACGCAGCCAGGGAGGAGACCCCCTCTCCTTTCATGCCCGCATTTTCCTTTCCACCTGAGCAGCATGGCCGGCTCCTTCGGCTCTGTCCACCGCAGAATAGTTTCACAAAATACCTTGGAGGGGGAGGCTAAACAGTGAGAATGACGCGACATATTCCCAGCTTACGCCAACACAGGTCTATAATAGTAAAACAAATATATGAACAAGTCTAGTACAACATATGGCAGCAACGGAGCACATTTCACGACTAGCCCGTAGCGTCGATGTTAAAATGTATTTTTTCACGCCCATGGCTTTCTAAATCTGAAACATATGCATATGCGTATGCATAAGAGCACATACAGATAAGGCTTCAACAGTTCTCTTTCAATTTCCCGGATCAAAAATGTGTGCCGTGACAGCCCTTTTTCAGCTATTAGGGAAATCGCAGGCCTATGTGCACTCTGCGATGTCCAGTTGCGGGATCGAATTTTGTTTTCGTTAACCCTTTTCAGAGTTGAGACCAAGGGTGTCAATTTTCATAAATTATCGGGGGGGGGGGAGAGGGGGCAAAGCAAAGGTTTAACAACCAGCCCCCGGCGTGTTTTTCTCATCGGATTCAACCCACTTTATTTTGATTAAACGCAAGATACATTTTTCATCTTTGTGTAATTTATAAAAGTCTTTAATGTAAGCAGTATGTATAGAATTTATGCAGGGTTGGATCCAGGGAGCAGGCATTGGACGAACGCGTGTCATCTGATCGGCACGTGAAGGCGCCCCTTTAGAGGTCATCTTAGGGCGCCGATGGCGCTGTTCTATGGCAGTCATGGAAGGCGGCACGCAATTTGGTCGTGGGGGACGGGGACGGGGTTAGCCGTGGAGGACTTAGGTCATCCTCACATTCCAGAGATTTTCACTTTAACCTCACAAATCATTGCGTGTCTTATGGCGCTAGATATGTGAAGTTTAATGCATCGTTTATCCGTTGAGTTGTTACGATTTGTATCTTGTGGCCAGAGTAACCATGACTTTTTGTTATTAAAGTGGTATGAGACCCTGCTACGCAAAAAGATGAAGGATGATAGCCTTTGTGTTATGACCAGCTTTGACCCACGTTTTTGTAGTATTCCAGCCAAAAACATTGGGGGGCCCCAACTCAACATTGGGGGGGGGGGGGGGCAGGGCCCTCACAAAAGAGTACAAATCGCCACCCGTGGTTGAGATAGAGAATAGAATGAAAACGGTCACCGAATGACAATTAAAATATTAGTTACGAACGATCTTCTCATAAATTAGGTATAATGTACTGTAATATATATATATACCTAAGATTTCTCCCAGGGGCGGATCCAGAGAGGTGGCCACGGGGCCATGGCCCCTCACTGGGCCCCGAAGAGGCCCATAGGCTCCGAAGGGGGTCCTTAGTCAACCAAAAAGATTCAATTCTTTAAACAAAAAACGCAATAAAATTGGACATCTCTGGATTTTCAGGCCACAAAGAACAGTTGCCAGCGAAAGTGAAGGGCCAACGAGAAGAGAGACAAATCTTCAATGATTAAAAAGGTGGTAATTGGAAATTCTAAGTCTTATTACGCTGTCCAGGGGCACCCTGATGCTTCCGGGCGACCTATATGCCCACGTGCAAGGTCATTTCGGTCGTTAAGAAGCCTTCCACATTGGCCTTGGCTTCTTGCGTTTTCTCGGAGGGCCCTGCACTGTTGTTGTGCGATTCCTGCTAGAGCGCCGGGACGCTCTTATCAATCAGGGACCTTCCACGTGTTTCCTTCCACTGTGGGCTATAGCCGGGGCCCCATATGTTAATCTGCCGGGGTATTCTCGATTGCTTGGGGGCCCTTTACGTTGGTCTCGGTTCACTACCGACACACTCTGGATATGCTCATGGGCCCTCTGCATTGATCCGGGGCGTTTCCGGTTCTGTCACTTGCTTTGGGCCCTGCGCTCTTGTCGGGGGACTATCTGTTAACCTGCTTATGCACACGTGGTCGATTGGGGCCCTCAAAATTAGGCAATGGGTACGTTCTATTTTAATGGAGGGGCCCTGCACACTCGTCGGGGACCCATCTGTTAACCTCCTCCGGCACGCTGGGCTGTTTAATCCTGCACACTGGGTATTTTAATGTAGGGCCCTACGCTCTTGTCGGGACCACCTGACAGCCTGCTCGGATACACTCGATCTTTTAGGGGCCTCCACACAAGGTCTTGGGTACATTTTATTTGCATGTTCATATCGAGGGCCTATTTGATGTGCTGCTCGGGCACATTCGATTGTTGGGGTATCTCTACGTCGGGTCTTAGGTATTGCCTATTTGAATGGAGAGCCCTGCGCTCTTGGCGGGGGCCCTATCTGCTTACCATGCTCCGGCGGACTCGATCATTCGGTGCCCTCTACATCGCGTCGTGATTATTTCATATTTAAACGGAAGGCCCTGCGCTCTTATCGGCGGCCCCATCTGTTAACCCGCTCGGGCACACTCGATCATTCCGAGGCTCTCCATACCGTGTTTTGGTTACTTCTTATTTGAATGGATGGCCCTATGTTCTCGGCAGGCCCCATCTATTAGGCTGCTCGGGTCGGTGGCGGATGCAGACGGGGAGGGGGAATGCACGAGACCATGTCCCCCATGAACCATGCCAAGGGGACCTATAGGCTCCAAGGGGGCCCACAACTGGCCGAACGGACGCATTTTTCTAGCAAAACATTACACAACACAATGGAGCATCTTTGGGCCTACAGACGAAGAACGGTTCCTGGCAAAAGTAAAGGGTTCATAAGCACATTAAGTTAATCCTTTGCTGATTGAGGTGTTGCTTGGGGAAATATCGGGGTCCATTACGCTGTCCAGAGACATTACGCCGTTGTCCAGACCCTATATGGCCACTTGCCGGGTCAATCCGATCGCTAATAAGCTTTCCACGTTGGCCTTGATCTCTGCATTTTCTCGTATGGCCCAATGCTGCTGTTGGGACGCTATCTGCTTCCATGCCTTGATCGAGCAGGCTTTCCTCCACAAATTTTTTTCCCGTTCTTCCGAAAGGCTTTGTATGCCTTTTCCGGGGCCTCATACGCCAGGGGCTCAGTTGCTCAAGGGCTCATATTAGTGTCGGGTTCTTTTCACTTGCTCGGTGGGCCTTGTGTTGTTGCTGGAGCTTACATGTGGTAAAGCACCGAGACACTCGATGCTCAGGGGCCCTCCAGTTTGATTTAGGGCTCCTTCCCTTTGACCTCAATATTGGAAGACTCTTCGCTCCTGTCAAGATTCTTGCTGTCAACCTGCCCGGGTGCTCTTGATTGCACAGTGGTATTAATTCATGGTACTGGGTAGTTCCCCTTTGCTCAGAGGGTCCCGTGCTCTGGCCGGGGCCTTGAATGTCAGTTTGCCGGGGCACTACATGTCGCTAAGGGACACACGTTAGTTTTTTTTTGTGTGTGTGTGATGTCATGTCATTGAGGCTTTACGACGCACTCAGCTGCTGAGGCTATATGGCGTCGCCCGCCTCTCACCCTGGCAGGAAGGGCGGGCACCGCGGGGAATCGAACCCCGTACCTCTGGCTTACCAAACGTGCAGTGCTTAAGGCGGACGCGTTAACCACTACACTACCGGCACCCCGTTTTTTGTTTTGTTTTTTTGCTTGCTCTGATGACCCTGTACTTGTTGACAGTAGCTTGTTTGTTCGCTTCCTGCGGCATCCATGACCACTCAGGTTTCATCCCTATTGGCAATGCTGCCTTAGCCTTAGAGCAGACGTCGGATATCCGCCGATGAATATTTGCGCACAATTGTTGAACGTAATTTTGCGTGCCGCCGACGTCGTGCGTGTCATTTTCCTTGGTTATTTAGTATATGACTTCTTATAATTGCACATGACGTACTTAACATATTTTGAATGTTAGGATATTATGCACTCCTCTGTAGCAGCGAAAAAATATGCATTAATCATCAGCTATCAGATCATTATATGGTCCCGTTGACTATCCGTAAATAAGCTAGAAATGAAGTTCATTCTTTGTTTTGATGGTATTTAGCAGCCAACTTGAGTCTATTGTGCCTGTTTTTCCGAAACAGTCGGCTTCAAAATCACGTGATCTAACATAATCTGTAGAAAATGAGTGAGCTCCATGCATGTGCACACGTAGCACGCCTAGCTTTATAGGGCTGCGCACAGTAAGATCGGTTCCCATTATATTTAACATACATACATACATACCTATATATATATATATATATATATATATATATATATATATCTACAAATTGTGTGCTTGGAATGCAAGGATAGTTTTAGAGGTGGCCCCAAACACTACGGGGCCCAGTGTTTTGTGCTCCCCACTTTCACAAAATCCGGGATCCGCCCCTGTTTGTGCTGTACAGGCGTCCGCATTGCATGCCAACAGAGTGGGACCGGCGTAAACGGATCGCTATCGCGACGCCGGTACGATTCTTTCTTTCGATGTTGAGGTTCTGGTCGTCAACCGACGTGCCGAAGGATCTGGACAGTGGATGTATTGGCCTGTCACGGCGCTGCCGAACTATCTCCTGCATCGACTCCACAAGTGCGTCGCACACGCGCGCAGAAAGCTGTCACTGCGTTACGAATACAAGACGCTGTGCCCGCCTGGGTGTCCGAACATCAAATGCGCTGGCTATCGGTTGTGGGTCCGCGGGCAGATGGCGTGTCATAACCACAAACAATGATCTTGAGCACTGAAGAATCTCTCCCCCACCCTTCCCTTCTGCTCCTTTGGATAGTCTGTCATCATGGACGTCTGCTTCTTGGGCCTTGAGAAAAGGGGTGTTGTTCCGCAAAATAAGTTCGGGGGTGGGGGTACTTTGCTGGGAAAATTGGCAAAATGTATCCCAAAAGTGCACAAAAGCGTGGTTCTCCGAATTAAATCCACTCCCATCTTCCACTTGGGGCCCGCACCACCACTAATGAGCAGAAAGATACACACCTGCTTGGAAGGCAGTTGTGGTTGCCAACAGGACGGTTAACATCGTACCGATAACGGCAAGGGCCATGATGACGAGCTGGTACTGAACAGTTGCCCTAAAATGCAAAGATCTAAAAGACTTCTCTGGATGATCTGAATCACCTAAAGCACCTGAAACACCCGTGACCTGTGACTATGCTCCCTAAAAACATTCAAAGGAACATTTTTGGCACAAGGAGAATACAGATGTTATACTGTGAGCCACACTGCAGAACTAAGCCCCAAAAGCTAGGTTTCACATTAGAAAAGCTGCCCAATAGACAATTGGTGGCTGAAAATAACCACTCACATTATCCTTTTGGCCACCAAGCCTCATAATTTAAAACATAGATCTCCTCCTTCCAGTATTGATGGTGGAATGTTACAAAAACTAAGGTGAAATATAAACATCACAAAATGGTCGCCTATGTTGGGCATTTCTTGCTGGCAATGACTGGACTCAGGGGCATAGTTTTTCAAAATGAGTAAGCTGGGACTGAACAGTAAAACCGAATAAGAAAAAATGCCCTTGGCTTGATTATGGATGAATAAAACAAAACTACACAATGAAAATAACATTTGGTCAAATGGGGTGTTCCAAACCTGATGAGGAACACACATTGGGTGGAGTTGAGGCCTTGAGACTATTAGGTGGGCAGGCCCTCAGTGCAGTCCACCAAAAGTTTTGAGCAAATTGATAATCCTGATCTACAAATCACAGAACTTTACAAGTTCAAAAAGGATGCATTATCTCAGAACTCCCCATTTTTTATATCAGATGGCCTGCTTACAGCCATGCAGGCTGCTAAACTCCTTTGGTAAATATCATAACAGGTGTGTGCACAATCAAATGTCATGACAGACACCTACACTTTCTTATATTGCCATTTATTTCTCGACAAAAGGACCAAGGTGATCATCAAGCCATGCAGACTTAATATCCTTGCTATTTGACATATTTTGCAAATTATAACAAGGTAACACCTCTGTAGATAATTTTGCGCTGTTGTGATATCAAATGCTGAATATTCAAGTACTAATTGAACAACAACCCATGATATATTGTAAGCCTGAAGATTTTCAACCCCAGTATCGATACACATTAGAAGACATTGACCAGCCACTTATCATGCAGCACTCAACAGCCGGAAGTCACTGTCATACTGTACATAGCTATTCGTGTAGTAACGTGCATGCATATAAAATTACTTGAAGGCAGTCCGACCCAAGCCCTCCAACTACACCGAACGCTAACCTGATTTCAAGCGTTTTCTGTGAATGAAAAGGCGATCACACTTAATCGTCGCAACCACACCAAAGATGCCGCCAATACCGCATTGCCAACTCTTAGTATACTACTCTAAATTTGGTCTTAATTCCGATCCTGGCATGCTTGTTGTACTTTGATACCTACTAGACAAAACCTCGGAGTGCCCAGTGTTGCACTTAGTGCATTGTTTGCGTGCCTTGCGGTGGCCGGGGTGACAGGGAGAGAGTGGGGATTGGCATTCGCAGTTGGGATGCATTCCGCTTGATTTCTGTATTTACGCATTGTGATATGATAAGTGAACAGCACCATTCATTGTGAAATCAGGGAAAGCTTTATTTTGCAGGATGTTTTGGGAGAAAGAAGTGTGATTCTCCTTCATTGACGCAGCAGAATGTCCTAGTTTTCCCACGGCCTGTTGCAAGCTGGCATGCGTGGTCGTTTGTCATACAAAAAGTACAGCACAACCTGCAACACTGCTGTAGTTGGTTAAAATATGTCTGCTGATGATAAAAACAAGGCCACAGAGAGGCCTGACTCAAGCCTCAGCAGTGATGATGATCCAATCCTGGACTTTTCTGCAACACAAGTGACAATGCCCTTGGATGATGAAGATCCTCGGGTGCTTCGGGGACAATCAGTAATGTGCAGCTCTTGCAGGCTGTTTTCAAAGCCGATGTGCACACATAATCAGCCAATTCGGACAAGAGTTCTTGGGGGGCTTTCACATGGCTCCTAATCATGTTAACCATGGCTATGAAGCACTGATTCAGGTTGGTCAGCTGTATAGCAGCTACACTTGTGTATTGTGTGCCTTGAAGAGTCAGTGTTATGCTGCTTTTTACTTCTAGAGAACTTGTATTGCATCACTGCATGTGATTAGATTAATCTCTCATTTGCTGTAAACATTTATGTTTCTAGGCCAAGGTTTACACTTAATGCCTGTTGGTTAAGCAGGATCCTACACACATTGTTACTTGCACTCTTATGTTGGCTTTAAAAAATTGACCCATTTAACTATCCACAGTGCATTGGAGTTTCAGCAGTCAGTGTCTTTGGCAGGAGGAGGCAACTGTTCAAGAACTCCAACAAAACCTGGGGGACTTGCATTGTCATGGACATGCACCACCCAAATGTAGCAGACGGGAGGCTGTCATCAGGCTGGCAGCTCACATCTGGCTTTTGCTTCTTGTTTATGGTGAGTGTACTCTCAGGTGGTATATTCTTTTTAGCAAAGATATACATTCATGGGGTATTCCATTGGTGCATATGACTTCGTGTTTGGGGTTTTTCAACGCACTCAGCTTCTGTGGATATAAAGCATTGTGTGCCTGCTACCTTTGTGGGAATGGCCAGTTGGCACAGTAAGGCTAGCATATGTGAAGATGAAAAGAACTTGATGATTTGTCATCTCTTGCATGTAGTACTCATTGAGCTTATAATTTATGAAGAACTTAAAAACTGTAGATGGGCTGAGTTTATTTCACTGTGGCACCTATATGCATCTGTGCCCTGACCCCCAGATGACAATAATATCTGTGCTCTGACTCTCAGTTGGCTGGGTGGCTGGCTGGCTGCCTAGCCAACAGCCTGGTGGTGATGTCAGATGTATGTGCCCTGTCCTCCAGTTAGCTGAGTGGCTGGGTGGCTACCTGGCCAACAGCCTGGTGGTGATGTCAGATATCTGTGCCTTGCGCCCCAGTTGGATGAGTGGCTGGGTGGCTACCTGGCCAACAACCTGGTGGTGATGTCAGATATATGTGCCCTGACCCTCAGTTAGCTGAGTGGCTGGGTGGCTACCTGGCCAACAGCCTGGCAGTGATGTCAGATGCGGCACACCTGCTGAGTGATTTTGGCAGCTTCCTGCTCTCCATGTTTGCCATCTGGATGTCAATGCGGCACCCCACCCGCAAGATGACCTTTGGCTTCTACCGTGCTGGTGAGGCTCCTTGGATGCTGTTCAGCATGTGGGGATCGGTCTGTGGTCCTGCAGGTACTGGGGAGGGGAGGGGGATGGGATGTTGTTAAACAAATCATGAGGGCCACATTTGGTTGTGCTAGTAGTTGTGATGGCTCTATCCAGGCATAGTGAGAGGTCTGATACTGCTGGGGCAGTGCGGGTTGTACAATGGCTGCTCATGTCTATAGGGGGCAATGGTTCTGAGATGCCTCCACATGCTCCACATGCATCTGCTCTGACCTTGCACCATGCATGGCCCTTGTTGTGGGCTGAACCTTTACTCCTCCAATGGTTTTGGAATGTTCCATGTCATAAGCAGAGTAATTGGTACGGCCATCTCGTTCCACACCTTATTTACTACAAGGGAGAGATTAATCATGTGTGGTATGAGCTCTGAAACATGCATTTGGATGTATTCTAGTCATGTCTTGCAGCAGTTGATTTCTTGGGTTGGGTCAATTTTGGCCAAACAAATTACCATATTTGCAGTGTTTTTGATTTGGTTGTAGATTTTGGCACACCCAAGGCCTTGATCTTGGCTGGCCTAGCACATGCTTGGATGTGCTTTAAAAGTTTAACGTGATGAACTCTGAACCTCAAATGACCACCAGCCTGTGGACACATGCCATTTATTTTGGTTCCTGATACAACACCAGCCCAATGTACTAGTTGGAAGGCAACCTCAGGCCTTTGCCTTACAATGCTCTGGCTGTTGGCGACACTTGGCTGGGTCATGCATGGCTCATTTTGCAGCTCAAACTTGTAATGTGTTGTTCAGTGAAACTGAAACCAGAAGCTTGACCTTATGACAGTTGACGTGCGCTTTTGGCACGGCCCGGCCTATGCTCGACACAGTCACGCGATCGCTAGCGCTTCAAGGTCTTGTCAGAAAAGAATACTCATTTTTATGGCACGTCTGCATCGTTCTTGCACGCGTCCTTTGGACCGGTTTGTACCGTATGCGAGGGAGGCGACTGCATTGTTATTGTCCGCCCTCCGGAGACAGCTCATTCGCGTCTGCCACCTCTCGGCGCACGTAGAGAGAGGCGAATCGAGGGCGACGGTGTCCGGTGCGGGCGGCTGACCGGTTTTGTGTCGCCCTGACCTGGTAAGGACCAGCGCTCCCATGGCGCTGGCCGGCTTTGACCGGATCTTGCGGTCGGACCGTCGGACTGTCCGACGGCAAGTGCGGTTCAGTTGGGTGACTGGCGTCCGTGGCGTGTAATCTCCGGTCCTGTTTGTGCCGGCCATACTACTCAGTTTCGGATCCATCCCTAGAAACGGGCCGGCCTTTGCAGCCAGCTCCTTAGGCGGCTGAATGTCTGCAATTCGCGGCTGCTGGAAGGTACCGCCCATCCACGTGCGCCACTGGTTTTGTATTTGTATTTGTAAACGTCGTGAGGCAACTCCACAGGAACGGTCCCTGTCTGAACCGGGTCATCGTGCGACGGTCTATCCCTCTCGCAGCCGGAAAGGCATGGCGTGTTCCGCTCGTCCGTGTCGCGGCGGCTCTCCCCGCACTGGGTCAATACCACGGCTTGTCAGGAATGTGGCTATCTTGCAGCCATGCAGCTGCACACGTCCCGGGACCCTTCGTCCTGCGGTGTGACCGCCACGTACCAGCTGTATCACGGCCTCCCCTGAAGTACGCACTATGTGCCGGCCACGCCCCGAGGGGTCACTCAACGCGCGCTCCTCCGTCGAAAGAGGCGTTGGCCGCAGTGATACCGCGCGCCTGAGGTCACTCACCGTGCGCTCCTCCGTCGGGAAAGATGCTGGGCGCGGTGATCCCACGCCCCTGAGGGGTCGCACATCACGCGCTCCTCCGTCGGCAGAGGTGCTGGGCGCGGTGATCTCGGTGCTCACCATCTGGATCGTCACCGCTGTGCTGGTCTACATGGCCGTCGAGCGGATGGTTCATGGCAACTACGACGTGGATGCCGACACGATGCTGATCGTGGCGGGCGTCGGCGTGCTCGTCAACATCGTGTCAGTGAGCGGCAGCGCGGCGGCGGACGGGCGCATCCCGGCCCGCACGTGCCCCCAGCTGGGAGCGAACGGCGGGGCTCATTGTAACGGCACGTGGCCGTGCGCTGGGCTGAGCTAAGTCGAGGGGGATGTGTCTCGGCGGAGGGCAGCTCTGGATGCACCGTTTGCTTGGCGACATGAAGGCGTGTTGTACTGTCGATTGCGTCATGGTTACATTTGCAGTATACCGTTGCGGTACCCTTGACCGATGCGCTCAAGGTTGTGGGCGCAGCAAGCTTGGTGCTCTGGTACGTAAACCGTTGGCCTTAAGCCGTTGGCCTTGACCTGGTGAGCGGCGTCGGCATGGCCGCTCTCCCGGCGGCGCCGCGGCGGCTGACCGAGCCGGCGGCTCTGCTGCAGTATGGGTGGCCTGCTGCACGGCCGCTGCTTCGGCTCCGGCTCACACGGCCACTCGCACGGCCTGGGCGGCCACGACCACGGCCACAGCCACGGAGACGGCGGCGCGGCGCAGAATATCAACGTGCGCGCCGCCACCGTGCACGTGCTGGGCGACCTGCTGCAGAGCATCGGCGTCCTGGTGGCGGCGCTCGTCATCAAGTTCAAGGTCAGGAGGCGCGACGGGACTAGCCGGCCGGTCGCTGTGAGGTCGTTGGGGGGGGGGGGGGGGGGTTAGGGGAGGGGCCTCTGGTCTGTGATGGGCGTACGGCGCGTTTTTGAAAAGGCGGTGGTGATCGCGTCGTCTTTTTTGATAAGGTAAAGATATCAGATCGGTTCGCTTGGTGGCTGTTTTGCTGGGTAGACCCTATGACCGCGTTTTAGGCGCAAGAAAAGTAATTGCGCCGCTAATCGTAGGTTTGCCACTGATTTGCGGTTTGGTCACTAGCGCGTTCTGAGCGGTGACGACCAGTTAGCCGCTGAAGTGAAGGCGGCCGAGCTGGTCTGACGGCATGCTTCGCACTGCGCGCCGACCCTCACGCTCACCCTCCATGTGAGGCGCAGGGCTCCGCTGTCCGTGATGCATAAGCAGGGGGTGGGAGCACATCGGCGACCGTGGCGCTAACGTCGCCTGAATCCACGCGTCGCTCGGCGCGTCTCACCAGCCCGTCTGGGCATGGGGTCTGCGAGGGGGAGACGCTGGCTGCTGCGGCGGCGGCGGCGTCCGTCTGTCAGTGATGCGTCGCTCGGCGCGTCTCACCAGCCCGTCTGGGCACGGGGTCTGCGAGGGGGAGACGCTGGCTGCTGCGGCGACGGCGTCCGTCTGTCAGTGGCGCGTCTCACCAGCCCCGTCTGGGCACCGGGTCTGCAAGGGAGAGACGCTGGCTGCTGCGGCGGCGGCGTCCGTCTGTTAGTGACGCGTCTCACCAGCTCCGTCTGGGCACCGGGTCTGCGAGGGGGAGACGCTGGCTGCTGCGGCGGCGGCGCCTGTCTGTCAGTGGCGCGTAGAGCTTGAGCGGTGTCCCTCTGTCTGCCGCAGCCGGGGCTGGAGATAGCCGACCCCATCTGCACGCTCCTGTTCTCCGCCATCGTGATGGCGACCACTGTGGGCGTCATGCGAGACGCGACGCAGATCCTGATGGAGGGGACCCCGGCTGACGTCCAGTACAGGTGAGCAGCGTGACCCGGGCCGGCCGTGGGGTCCCGTCCGGCGGGCCATGGGCGTGGCTGGGGATCGCGTGACGAGAGCCGGCCTGACGTCGAGTCTGCGAGTCGCCGACAGTAGATCGGTCACTGCGTGGTTACGGAGTCGGGGATGCGCAGTTACGATGCGTGGTTACGTGGTTACGGCCTGTGCAGGCACGTGACGGTGTGCTGCTGAGCGGGGATAGCCGCCCTGCGTCGCGCCCAGCACAAGCCGCGCCTCTACCTCGGCTTGTCCTCGCAGACTCGTCGTATTCCCGGTGCACCATGGCCTCTGACCACTAATATGGCCAATACAGTCGCTGAAAAAGGGCGTGAGGACACGCGTCGCGTTTGAAAAAGGAGACTCGTGATATTTGTGACGCCAGTGGATTTGTCCCTAATGGGGGACGGCGGACCTATGTGATTAACATTAACGGCAGGAAAACCGCTGACTTAGGTCGGTGTTCGTCTTCATCATTTACATATGCTGTGCGACGTCCTAGGCGAACCAGCGCCGACACGACGGTGTAATGCAAGCCGGCTGACCTCTGAGAGGCGCCCTCTGCTGGCTGCCCGTGATCAGCGGCTCGGGGATGCGGCGTGCCCCCGCGAGTGCTGCCGTGTATGGAGGACGTTCGTCTCAGCTGACTGGCAGCTGGCCGGCAGCTGCCGAGCTTCCGGCGGCGGCGGCTCCGTCTGTGTGTTGTCATTGCGGGTTGTGACCCGTCTTGTTTGATCCACAGCGCTGTACAGCGTGACCTGGAGGGCATCGAAGGTGTCATTAAGGTTCACGACCTGAATATATGGTCGCTGAGTGTGGACCGTAACGCCATTTCGGCCCATCTTGCCAAAGGTGAGCTATGTTGCGCTGGGCGAAGACGTTCAGTACATATGGTAGTGCGTTCAGTCATATGGTAGTGCGAGTAGCACGTGTTGGTTCATGGTAGTCATATATGTCAACAGATTGCTTGGGTGTGGGTTTTTTCTATAAACCCTTACAGCATGTTCACTTTTGTTTGTCATCACGCTATGGTATGGTGCCGGCAGTACTGATATCATCTCATTTCACTCAATTTCCCGCTTAGCGTATTGAAAAAGGTTTAAGGAGTCTTTCACAGCCTTTTTTATGTAGGTCCTACTGTCGTTTGGGGCATATCGAAATGTGGGATGTACGCTCTGTTTTGATGTAGGTCCTACTGTCGTGTGTGGCATATCGAGATGTGGGATGTACGCTCTGTTTTGATGTAGGTCCTACTGTCGTGTATGACATATCGGGATGTGGGATGTACGCTCTGTTTTGATGTAGGTCCTACTACCGTGCGTGGCATATCGGGATGTGGGATGTACGCTCTGTTTTGATGTAGGTCCTACTGTCGTGTGTGGCATATCGAGATGTGGGATGTACGCTCTGTTTTGATGTAGGTCCTACTGTCGTGTATGGCATATCGGGATGTGGGATGTACGCTCTGTTTTGATGTAGGTCCTACTACCGTGCGTGGCATATCGGGATGTGGGATGTACGCTCTGTTTTGATGTAGGTCCTACTGTCGTGTGTGGCATATCGGGATGTGGGATGTGCGCTCTGTTTCCGGGAAACATCTACAAGGTTTGTGTGTATCACAGGTAACTTTAATTTCATCATTATCAGGCAGATGTGTAGCTCTGGCGGCTTGAATGAAAGGTATGACCCCACGACCGTAGCAAAAGAATAGCATATTTACATGAGCTTTTGTTCCCTTTCCCCATAATGTTTGAACTGTACATCGCCAATTGGTTAAAGGCGTCCTTTTCACGAAAACCGGGGGTAAAGGTTGCGTGGCATAAATGTTCATAGTCATTACGTGCATCAGTTGCTATAACGACTCAGTTGTGAATGACGGTACGCGCTGGTTGCATTCGATTCAGTTCGCGCTGCGAACAAAAGACGCGACGTTCACGACCAGCGCTGCATCACCGCTGGTTTGGGCTTGAGAGGAAGCTGGCGAGATTGCGTCCAGGATGTGGCTGCGTGTGACGCGGCGGCTCCCAGTGGCAGGGTGCCGCTTCGTTTCCTGCAATGGCCCCATGACGACACGATTCGTAATGCCATTTCAACGACTTCTGTTGGCGAGCCTCATCCGGCTATGGCGTGGCCAGCTTACGCTGAAGACGCCGTCTTCACACGCAAGTCCGCGGTCGTGTCCTCAACGACTGCGGTCGCGGGTCAGGCTAAGGTCGCCGCGCCAAAGCCCACGTTCGAGGCACGACCCTGCGACCGCTGACGCCGGCGCATGGCGCTCTCTGTTGACGGTCCCACGCGCCGGCGCGCCGCTGGCAGACGGCTCGGCCGGCGCACAGGGCTGCTCCGTCTCGCACCGATGTCGCGTGGCTGATGTGGGGGGCGCCCCACGCGGCAGCGCTCCGCTGGCAGACGGCTCGGCCGGCGCACAGGGCTGCTCCGTCTCGCACCGATGTCGCGTGGCTGATGTGGGTGGCTCCCCATGCGGCAGCGCTCCGCTGGCAGACGGCTCGGCCGGCGCACAGGGCTGCTCCGTCTCGCACCGATGTCGCGTGGCTGATGTGGGGGGCGCCCCATGCGGCAGCGCTCCGCTGGCAGACGGCTCGGCCGGCGCACAGCGCCCCTGGCGGTGGCGCCGCAGCTGAGCGTAGCATTGACCGCCGCCAGTTTTGTGCCCCTCAATGTCGGCATGCGGGGAAGGACGGGCTGAACTGACCTTTCACTGCGACCGACTGTTGTGATGAACTATATGGACGGGGTGCGTACCTGGCTAGGCCATTTTTTTTTGTTTATTTGAATTTAAGTTCCGGATTATCTTTTTTCGCTGCCGCACTTTTCATTTATTGCATTTTAGTACTCCATAGCCAGTATCGTGGGGTGCTGAGGCTCTGCTTAGGAGATGCGTGCCCCAGCCATGTGCAACGGTTGTTCACGTGAGGCGCTCGATGTGTTAAACAACACCAATGTTGATCTTTGCATTGACGCGCTGAACGCTACGCACCGCCGCTCAGGCTCGGCGCCTTCCAGAATCGCCGTCAGACGTGTAGCGCGGTCTGCGGACGTCAATGGAATCTGTCGAAGGATGTGACTAAATTAAAAGCTACGGCAGTTATACATTTAAAAGTTCTGCTTTGAACGAGGTGGCGTTGGCAGGATTTGCTGCTTGGGATCGGTTTAAGTGGAGCACGCGTAGGGCTTAACTCATTCTCGCAGATTGATCACGGATTTTCGGATGTGGTAGATGGCACAGCTCTCGCATACCATGCGCAATTGCATCGCCGGCCATGGCCAGTATACGACCACCACAGTATCGCTCCATGTCCCAGCCCACGCAAAGGCTTGCTGTCCCGTGTGTCGCTCCGAATGATAACTGCCGTGTCGTCACGTGCCGTCCGCTGTCGCCGGCAGACACGGGCGCGGACAGCGACCAGGTGCTGCGCACGGCGCTGGCGCTGCTGCGGCTGCGCCACGGCATCGCCCACACTACCATCCAGGTGGAACAGTACGACTCGGCCATGGACCTGTGCGACGCCTGCCTGCTGCCGGCCCGCTGACGGCGGCGCTGCGCCCGCGCCCGCGCCCGCGCCCGCGCCCGCGCCCGCGCCCACGCCCGCGGCTGGCACCGGTGTGTTGGCAGCGAGTGTCCAGTCCAGTTCGAAGAAAGCGAGCAGAAGATACTGTCGCGTTAATTGTTCACCTTGTGGAACGTGAAGACATATTGCAATCCTGTTACTCAGTACTCCCAATGGCGTACTCCAATGACCAACTGATGACTTGTCTTATTACTCCCTGCGGCCTGACGCAGCCTCAGTTTCCTCCCTTCCAACGGACACCTGTGATTACCCGGTAGATTACGGCCACTGTGGCAAGTCCCGCCGTGGCGCTGGTGTGTTACTCCAGACCTATTCCGCATGAGATCCGCAGTGACCGGCCGTTCGCTTGACGTGATTGCCAGGAACAGTGTGCTGTGTACTTTAGTGTGGCGTGTGTGGCGCGGCGTCGTGCGGTAAACCAGCGCCGGCCTTCGCCGCTCCCAGGGCAGGTGGTCAGATGGTGCGCGCGACTATGTCTCGTCTGCAGTGATGGCGGCTGGGAGTGTGCCTTGCGCTTCCCTGGGGCTCGTGAGCTCGTCCCAGTGGCGGCGTGACCAGGGAGACGCCGCTCAAGACAACCGCCCAGGCGGCTGGTCGCCCTGTACGGACCAAACTTATGTAGCCATGCAACTAGCTTTATATACGGGATTATAGCGATGTGGATTGCTGGCCATTTCGGATCGTGACATGCGGGTGAAATGCACTTGTTTGGCGACTCAGCGGTCGAGGGCGCTGCAAACTCGCGTTGTTAACGGTATTTTGTACCATTCCAGAATACATTATCCGTTTTTCGTTGCCCGTATTTGATTCATTTGGGTGCTTGGCGCTAATATCCGATGCCCGGAGCTCAGTTTTCTGATGAACCGAACCCGCTGACGGGTGAAATTAGCAGTCCACCAAACCGCTGGCGAAGGTTGCTTCCGTGGTGACTGCCAACAGATGGAGGAATGATCCTTCACAATTTCAAATGTGTCAAACCATGCAGACTTCGGGATTGATACAATTATGATTAATTTGTTGACAGACCCACTTTTGCCGTCAAATGTTTTGCTTGTTAAGGAAGGTCTCTATGAACGCCGTGGTGACGGCTGTCTGCCCAAGCCCCTGTCGGTTGGGTGTCAATATGCGGTGTTGTCTTACCGTTCACACCCAGCCGTCCATGTATCGAACTGGAGAGCACGGCGCCCGTGTGGCGAGAACTGCTCTCTGGGGCCGCGCCGTGCTTAGTCTGGGATCGGAATGGGCTGAACGGATGTCGTAACGCTGGGTCAAGAACTGGACGGGTGTCGTAACGCTGGGGCAAGGACTGGGCGGGTGTCGTAACGCTGGGTGGAGGTACGTTGTAGGTTGGCGGTTAAGAGTCAGACGATGCCGACGGAAAACACGTACTTCCGTGTTGATCTCATAAATGTGCAACCATGACATCTTATCAGGCGGCCGGTGCACCAGACGGACTATGGAGACGTCAGGTGACCACGCACAGAGTCAGAACTTGGCCAAATCCGCGTTCTAAATCCCCCCAAAACAGGCAATGAGGACATCCGAGACTCACTCAGGTAGAGCACAGTTACACTCAGTAAGGTTAGTCTACACGCCAAAGCAAGCCGACACGTCGTAACCCGTCTCCTCGTGGTCTACCTGGCCGGTGTCATAACCCGTCTCCTCGCGGTCTACTCGGCCGGTGTCGTAACCCGTCTCCTCGCGGTCTACCTGGCCGGTGTCGTAACCCGTCTCCTCGCGGTCTGCCTGGCCGATGTCGAGACCCGTTTCCTCGCGGTCTACCTGGCCGGTGTCGAGACCCGTCTCCTCGCGGTCTACCTGGCCGGTGTCGTAGCCCGTCTCCTCGCGGTCTACCTGGCCGGTGTCGAGACCCGTCTCCTCACGGTGTACTGGGCCGGCGTCGAGGCCCGTCTGCCCGCGGTCTACCTGGCCGGTGTCGAGACCCGTCTCCTCACGGTGTACTGGGCCGGCGTCGGGGCCCGTCTGCCCGTGGTCTACCTGGCCGGCGTCGAGACCCGTCTCCTCACGGTGTACTGGGCCGGCGTCGGGGCCCGTCTGCCCGTGGTCTACCTGGCCGGCGTCGAGACCCGTCTCCGTCTGACCGCCTGGCGGTTTCCTGTGCAGCGTGGCGGCCGGCGGCATCCGCGCGGACGGCTCCAGCCCGCCGACCGACGCCTGCGGAGGGCGGCAGACACTGTCCGGGGAGACTCGACGTCAGCTGGGAACATACGGCTCCAGCTCGCCGACCGACGCCTGCGGAGGGCGGCAGGCGCTGACCGGGGAGACTCGACGTCAGCTGGGAACATACGGCTCCAGCTCGCCGACCGACGCCTGCGGAGGGCGGCAGACACTGTCCGGGGAGACTCGACGTCAGCTGGGAACATACGGCTCCAGCTCGCCGACCGACACCTGCGGAGGGCGGCAGACACTGTCCGGGGAGACTCGACGTCAGCTGGGAACATACTCGACGGCGGATTGTATGGGGTGTGAGCCGGTGATAGATAACGCCACGAGGTGAGTGAGCATGAGGCAATCAACTGTGTGGGCGCGGAGGAGCGGGGGGGGGGGGGGGGCGCAACGATGACGTTGAATAAATACGTGAGATAGGATTACATTACGCGAGCCGACAGAAACATCACCAAAATAATGATCCCAGTGCCTACTTCCATGCGGGCGCGATTATTGCACGTGTGGTAAAACCAGACAGAAAATCACTGAATGCAATATGACAAAGGTGGACTAGAAACGATATTATCTTGGGGCTTTGCCGGGCCTGCTATCCTTAGTGTCAGTTTAATCCATGCGACGGACCCCTCATTCGAGAAAGGTATCACGCAGTGTCCCTCGATCGTCTTCAGGATAATGGTGTTGCCGCGTCAAGAAAAACCCAAGATGGAATATCAAGAATAATAACAACTCGATCGTCTTGTTTCCGGTGAGTGGAGGGCAGCTGCCGGTTCGAATCGTTCCAAGAAGTCCGTACCGCGAAGAAGGATTTAATCGCCTTCTATTCCACATCGCCTTGTTGCTTGTACCCGAATTCTGACGTGTGTTGCACCGATGGTGGTTGACGCAGAACATGCTGTTTATCCAAGTCATTTTTCGCGTCTCCGGATCGACCGCCAGATCGCTCCACCCAACGAGCACCTCAGGCTGGCCTGGGTTGGCGGAGGAGAATGACCTGAGCCAGCGACACGGCACTGAGCCTGTCGCCTGAGCCTCACATGAGCTAATATACTGACACCGAGCCAAGATTGGGCTGCTCCTGAACCAACAACACGGCGCCAAGCCTGAGTTGCAGTCTCACATGAGCTAAAATACCAACACTGGGCCGAGCCTGGACTGCTCCTGAGCCAACAGCACAGCACCAAGCCTGTGCCAGAGCCTCACAGGAGCTAATTTACCGACACTGAGCCAAGACTGGACTGCACCTGAGGCAGTTATTCTGCACCGATCCTGCGCCCGGGCCTCACATGGGCTAATTTACCGACACTGAGCTAAGACCGGACTGCACCTGAGACAGCTACTCTGCACCGAGCCTCCGCCAGAGCCTCAAATGAGCTAATTTACCGACACTGGGCCAGGACTGGACTGCACCTGAGCCAGCAACACGGCACCGAGCCTGCGCCAGAGCCTCACATGAGCTCAGCGGTTGTTACTGGTGTTTGGTTTTCTTCTTCTTCGTCGTCTCAGCCTTCTTCCACATTCTTTTTGGCTGGCAGTATTGAACGCTTTACGTATGCGCTACGGCCATGCATTTCCGGCTGAAGTTGAACCATTCGCTCTCCATAACAACTCGCTCTGAAAGATAATTGCATTTGCAGAGGTACAAAAACATGTAACAGATCAAACATAGTGAAGAAGCTGCAATTCGGGTGTACGCTCTGCACTTTAAATCTCTGGGCAGCAGGGGGCACGGTAATTTTACTCAGGTTACACAAATCTGTTTAGAACAACTTGGTTCACCGCAGCACGCCAGGCGTTCTGCTAAACACATCCATACTGGGGAGGGGGGAGGGGGCAACCAGCCCGCACAACGGATCAGTTCAAAACCGACTTACACTAGACCAATTAGTTAATGCCACACAAACCGCTAGCATCAACGATTTCTGAACATTTGCAATGCTCTTGCGACAATTACTTAACAAAGCACTCAGTACGGGAACTTATGGTTGACATCACTCATGCTGGCCGGGTCTCATTCCGCAGCGTTCTGACCAGGCACTCAGCACCTTTTCCATGCCGTGAGCACTACCATTCTCCACACAACAGTCCTGGTGAGCCGTTTGCACTCCAGGGCCAGGCCTGCTTAAAAAAGCACTGCCAAACCCCCTGCAGAGCCAGCCGGGCTGCCGGTTGCGCACTGCGGAGGGACCGCTCATAGCCTTTGACACGACACAATCTCAGATAGCCCTCTATCACACGGTTCAGTTGCCCTCCACTGCCAGCGCACTCGCCATGAGGCGGTCGCGTGCATTCGATGCACAGCCGTCGCACAACGCGCATCAACATTACAAAATAGCGTATACAAAACAGGCACACTGCAAATGGTGCACGCCGCTCGCACCCAGGCACGCGCCGGCGGGACAGACGGTCTCGGGGAGTGCGGCAGGCGACCGGCCGCCGGCGCCGCGGCGGGCATCACAGCCGGCGGCGGCAGCGGCGGCGTCAGGGCAACAACAGGTGCGGACAGCCGCCCAGCAGCGAGGCCAGGCCCGGGCCAGCGGCCAGCGAGAGCCGCAGGTCGGTCGGCTCGGTCGGCCAGACCCCGCGGCCCGGCTCCCACGGGTCGGGCGCCATCACGATCTGCAGGCTGGAGGAGGCGGCGCCGCCGGCCGTGGCGCACGACGGTACATCACTGGCGGACAGGGAGCGGCGGTCAGACCCCGGCGGGGCAGCGCGGCCTCACTGCGCTCCGCTGGCGACTACAGCTCACTCTACCGAATCGGTGACGGGCTGCGTTTGGCACGGGAGCGGTATGGCAGCCACAGCACTATGGCATAGATGAGGTAATGACGTGCAGCCAGTGGAAAACGGCAATACGAAACATGACAATGGCTTGCAATCCATGCTACAACTTAATCGCCAATGTTTCAAAGATGTGACCGCTGTGGCAGAACAATCTTACAATGCTTACACACCACCGCTTCTTACCTCACACTCAGCTCCGGGCCGAATTTCCTCTTGTCTAACTGGTTCTGGTTTATGAACAGCCTGTGTCTCTCTGTTTTCTTCCACAGGTAATAGAAATGCACTATCTCGCCGACAGAGCGAGTTCGCACCTACGAAATGAAAAACCGTACACATGTTAAAATTGGCCACGCGAAACAAGGCTGTTACATGAACACATCAATATGACTAAATGATGAGAGGACATGAGACCAACCCGGGGCGGCCGGCTAGAGTGGGGCAGCTGATCCGTAACTCCGGGCAAAAATCAACGATACCCTGCGGTGTTGCATGGAAACACGCGAGATAAATCACGATCATCCCCCCTCTCCAAAGGGGCTCTTCCGCTACAGAGACCAAAAGTCATACGACATCATTCATTGTCGTCCAGGCCAAAAAGCTGCATCCGCGCAGCAATTGCTGGTTGTTAGTTGCTATACAGACTATTGTGAATTAAGTGAAACACTGATCCGCCCTAAGGCCGCCCATAGCCAAGCCTAATCGGACATGAGCGGCGAAGCATAAAGCAGCTTTCTTGTCATGAATACCTTTGACAACACTGAAACAAGTTAACTTGGGCACGCGGAAAACCGCGACATCAGCTGTCCGTAAAGAATGAAAAAAAAACACGACCACGACGCAGCAATCAAGTTGCTCGTGGCCTTATTGAGACTAGACAATGAGAAAAATGTCCACGCTTCTTCACAGGGCACGATATATAGGCCAAAACAGGAGGTGGCGATCGCCCGGTTGCCAGCGTCGCCAAACATCAAACTTTCGGGCTGAGCGGCGCGGTGCTCTGAAGCCCAACCTCGCTTCACCGCCGCCGGACGAGCTGGACCTGGTACGCACCTTTTGTCGCTGAATGGCGTGAAAGTCTTTGCCATAGAGGCGGAGGCCCTCCTCGAAGAGCTCACACTCGGCGTCGGACCAGAGCGCCAGCCGGTCGGCGGGCCGCGGCTGCACGGGCTGCACGCGTCGCAGCGCCTCCTCCACGTTGTGGCCGCACTCCTGCAGCTGGAACAGCGCCTGCAGCGGACACCAGGCCGAGGTCAGGGTTGGCGCACACCGTCAGTAATGTCGCACAGACAAAATACCGCCTCACGCGCGCTGTGCGTCTGCCGCACGCTCAGCGCCCGGCAACGGCGTGCTCTAGGTGCGCAGTTCGGGCCTGCCCGGCAATCACATCACAGCGTGCGGAGTGCGTGCGGCACCTCATGCGTGTGGCACCCCTGCCGGGTGCGTGCGGCACCTCCGCCGGCGTGCGCGCGGCACCTCCGCCGGGTGCGCGCGGCACCTCAGCCAGGTGCGTGCGGCACCTCAGCCGGCGTGCGCGAGGCACCTCCGCTGGCGTTCGCGCAGCACCTCCGGCGGCGGTGCTTCGGTCAGTGGCTCCAGTCACGGGTCTCACCTGCTCTTGATCGGACACGCTGCCTGTGTCACCGTCGGCGGCCGGCCGCAGCCGGCGCTGGTACCGCTCGACCTCGCGTTCGGCCAGCCGGCTGGGGTCCCAGAGCAGGCGGTCGGCGGCGGGTCGTGTCGACGGCGGTCGCGCGCGCCGCCGTCTCGCCGGCAGCTGCGCCTGGTGCGCCTGCCCCAGCGGCACCGGCTTGCGCCAGAGTGGGGCTGGCGGTGGGCTGGGCTCGGGTGGCGCACGCTCCGGCCGCAGCAGCGCCGGCTCCGCCTCGCCGTCCCAGCCGGACGGCTCGAACTCGCCCAGCAGGTCCCGTGCGATCACAGCCTTGTCCAGCGTCAGGTCCTGCGGCCGGCGGCGCGTGGTCAGCACGGCCCATCGGCGGCACGGCAAGCTACCATCACGGCCACCCGCGGCACGGCGAGCTCATCATCACGGCCCATCCGCGGCGCGGAGAGCTCATCATCACGGCCCATCCGCGGCGCGGCGATCTCACCATCACGGCCCATCCGCGGCGCAATGGGCCCATCATCACGGCCCATCTGCAGCGCGGCGAGTTCATCACGGCCCATGCGCAGCGCGGTGGGCTCATCACCACGGCCACTGCGCAACACACTTGTGTAGTCTGTACTTCTGTTAACACTCATGTAGTCTGCACGTGGCGCACGTCGTCCTCACCTGGTTGCTGAGGATCTCCTCGGAGGCGGAGCTGGACTGGGAGGCGTCGGCGTCGTCGTCGGCTAGCCGGCCACTGCCGCCGCCGGTGTAGAGCGCCAGCAGGCGCTCAATGGCCGGATCCGGCTCGGCGGGCAACAGCTCGGCGGCGCCCGGCTCTGGCGCCGGCGCCCACGGCTGCGCGTGCCCGCACGGCGTCAGCCGCTCGCACCAGCCCACCGACGGCTGTAACAGCAGACATGTCTGTGACAGCTGGGCAGATGCCAGGGTGCAGCAGAGATGGACAACACATCGGCACACACTGGACAGATGCATACTCATCATGAGAAGCCTTCCACAGCTTAACACATATTAGTGGCCATAGGCACACAGATAAATGTTAAAAATTGTGATATTGCTACATCATGAATGATTGTCAAATACTAATAGTGGAGAGACAGCTCCATTGTTCCAACTGAGCAATATAGGACAGCTGTGATATATGGGGAATTGAGGTTGAAAGGGTAGATGTGCAATGGTGTACACACATGTAAGCCAGGTCTGAACCCATCAGAACTAATGCACCAAAAGGATTTCAGGAAAATAGGGACACCCAGTATACCTGCAATGTCCTGAATGTATACAACATATCTGAAGCTTATACTTTAGATTTGCTACAAGATTTAACAAAAGAAGAAAACTACAGAAACCCTGAATCAGACACTAAAGGGGTCAATTTAACATTTTGCAGGCCCATCCTCTTATTCCAAGATCTAAAGATGCTGTAACAGTGGGGAAAACAAGTGTGGAATAGACATAACCCAGCTCTGAACCCATCAGAACTAATGCACCAAAAGGATTTCAGGAAAATAGGGACACCCAGTATACCTGAAATGTCCTGAATGTATACAACATATCTGAAGCTTATACTTTAGATTTGCTACAAGATTTAACAAAAGAAGAAAACTACAGAAACCCTGAATCAGACACTAAAGGGGTCAATTTAACATTTTGCAGGCCCATCCTCTTATTCCAAGATCTAAAGATGCTGTAACAGTGGGGAAAACAAGTGTGGAATAGACAACAAAAATATAAGTGATGGATGGAAGTAGACATTGACAGACATGACCTGTGATATGTCAGGCAAGTCTGTAGAGTGAAGCATATTGTTCCTTCAGTCTACCCTCCTCTATCAAGAACTACCTAAGCTGCACCAATCAGGAAACTATCACACACAGGAAGTGTTAGAAGGCCTTCCAAAGCTGTGGGACATGCATTATCAAGGTTCAAACAGCATGACCTTCAGCAGACCCTAACCCATATGACCTATAAAAGTTGTCAATCATCAATTGAACTGAAAAACCAAATCTCCCTGGCTGTTAAATGTTTAAATTATGCATGCATGTGTGCAATATACTGATTTAGCCACATGTCAAGCAGGGTTTCCTGACAGCTTCACCATATCTTAGTTGTGAAAATTGGCAGTACAACATTACATAAGCTAGTGTAGCAATGACGAGGTGTGGCAATATTCAGCCGCTTGGGCGGCACCACCTTTGCATTGGCAGTATTATAATAATCCACTGTAGCAGTTGGCCATACAGTATAAGCATGCTACAACTTACCCCTGCACACACCACACCCAAGCCAGGATGAGTTGTGCTGCATTTCAAAACAACTTTTATGTGTCAATGCATTTGAAGCATCATTTATGGCAGTTACCTTTGGAGCATTATAACTGCCTCAAACAAAGCCTCTTTGAGAAACAAAATTAGTGGTGACCATGAACCAAACTGAGGGCAAAAATTTGTGACATATATGTACTAAAATCTGTGATATCATTGCACTGCCAATAGTACTTGACTTAATATAATGATTTACAGCATGGCATCTGTCTACACTTCATGTAAAGATTGGTGTCAACAACCACATGGCATACTTCATGGCTAGAACAACACATCAAAGTTTACAATCAATCATAACAAGCCTCAAACTTAACTAAGTGGGACATAATCCATTAATGGCAAATAATAATGCAATGATGATCACATCCTTGAACCAACACACATCAGGAAATCATATTAACATCATCAAATCAAAGTCATTCAAAGGTGATAAGACCAACAAAACCGAGAAAATAGCCATTGACTTAGTCCAAGGTCGTTTAGTCCCAATTTTCTCCTGAGACTTGGCGCGACTTATATGGCGCATGAAGAGGAGCCTTTTAACGACACAACCCTTTTTAAGAACCACAGATGAGGAATCACAACGCGCTAAAAAATAGACAGAACATAATACACGTACAACTCCATAATCTACACTAAAGGACAAGCACTGGCACAAATAATCGCACTCACATCCGCCATCTTCTGCGAGCCCCGAGTGCGAGCAATGGACATGGCCATCAAATGGCATGGATATGGAAGCATTTTTAGTTAAATTTACAGCTGACTTATCACTGCTTGGTTTGTATTTCAGATCACTTCCTAAACTTTAACAGCAAAAGGCATAGCTATTCAACACGTTGCATGGCATTTCATTTGATTAAACTTTTAAAAATGCATTTATTAAATCCATGAGTAGCACTCTCCACTAAACATTCACGGAAAGCATGGTTTTCTTGAAACTGAGAACAAACTTGTTTGCGTTTGTTTAAAAAAAGGCTAGTCAACAACTTCGTCTGCTCGATGATGACATTGCAATAATACAGATAACTATCATAACTGTAAATTTTGTAAAAATATTAATCATCTCGTATTTTTATGCATTCCAATGCGAAGTCCGGCAAATCTATTGATCTATACTAGGTCAATGGGCAAAGCATGTTCCCGATCACCATCTTTTCCCTCACGAACAGTCCTTCAGATTACTTCAGATTTGGTATCTTCCCTTGTCAGCTATTATAGCGAGATAATGACATCTACCAACATTATTCCGAATACGCGTGGTTGGGCCGATGCAGGCCAGCGGGGTATAAGGATAGATGCGCGGTATTACCTGCGTTGCCCATCGCCCGTTGTAGAACATAAAGGTTCTACGAAGGAGGTGTTAGGTGATTTTATTATTATGATTTTAAATGTCATCGTTGCTTTCTTCCCGTAGTCACATATAATAAACAAGAAGGTGAACAAGTCACAGACAACCGATGTCTAAGGGTTTTGTGGTGAACGCTGTGCTGTGAGTGACAATCCTCTTTGGAATGCTCCAAAGCGTACATGGTATTATGGCATTTACCCTAGTCATAATACCCTGAGGAAGATTGCAGCCACGCCCTAAAATGAGGGAAAATTAATGTTAGCTTGTGAATTCTCACAGAACAAAGATTTCTTTTGGTCAGGCCAGTCTAAAAAGCTCATTCCTGGTAGCCTGTGTAGCTGTGGTGTGCTCTAACTGGCTTGTGTGCCCCCAGTTTTTCATGGCTTATCCTGAATCAAGTCTGAGTCAATAATACTGGCATTCTAAAATGTGGACAAATAGATATGAAGCTGATGCATGTACACAGAACAAAGATTTTGTTTGTTCAGGGCAGTCTGCATAAAGTTTATTCCTGGTTGCCTATGCAACATTGGCATGTTGAAATTCTGGCCTTTGTGCACAATATGTGGTGATGAGCACTCGTGCTAAGTTTTTAAATTGTTATGCTGTTTTTTATTTTTGCCTGAAATTATATTAGCAGCATCATAATTCCCTGAGGCAATGCCCTTATGGGCTGAAATTGGCAGTGAGCATGTCCTAATGCTTTAGCACGCAGTTTATGGTGTTTCTACAATGCAAACTTCTGTCATGTCATTGCTATGCTGGACATGTTTGGTATAACATCAGTTGTTGCGATCTGGTGTTCAGGCATTACGTTTGGTTATTCTGTCAGAGGGGGGGCAGCTGCCCATTTGGTGAAGTGGTGCATCCTGCACCTGAGCAGGGTACAGTGGCATTGATGAAGATGGTTGATGAGTGGCACACCATTGGTTGATGAGTGGCACACCTGAGTGGCATTGATGAAGAAACTATGTGTAGATCAAGCACACACCATCAGTGCAAGGGCTGAATAGGAGACTTGAATGGAATAAGTGCTATGTGCAGACAGCCTTATTGCCCATGGACTCTCATTTCTAAATGATATCTAAGCAATGGCCACTGAGCCATTATACAATTTGTGTGTGTCATGCTTTCTTCTGGATAGGTTCTTTTAGATATGATTGGTCCATTTCATCAGTTATGTTGGGAGCTTCTATGCATATTTGGAAGCTAAAATGCATACTGATATATATGTTTCATAATCAGTAGTAAAAAATGAGGTTGGCCTCCATGGAATCCAAGTATCTATGATGGCTAGCATCAGAAAATAATTTTAATGAGCTTTTGAGTTGAAAAATTTAATGCATATAGTTTTTGTAGAATGATAATTTTCATCAGAGTGATGACTAACATGAATTTTCAAAGCTGCTGTAAACTCATATGCCATGTGAATATGTTGTTTTTGAGGTTTTAGGCCATGGCTTAGTGGAAGGGCTCTATTTTGGAATGCTCAAATAAGTTGTCAGTTGCATCATGTGACCAGTCTTTGACATAAAGTGAAGCAACAGTGGCCTTTTTAGAATGCATCTCAACATTGTGCTATGCTGAAAAAGTACCCAGAGTTATGATCTGCTGGATGAATGCAAGGTTATCTCGAGGTTTGAGCAGGCATAGTATCACTGTTGGAGTTGTTTCATGCATGGACCAAATGACAGGCCATGTGACTGGCAAATCTAGCCAAAAACATAGTGGTGTGACACTGTTTGTACAGGCTGTTCATATGGGTGTCATTCAAAGTAGGTTCAATAAGTTGCAAATGGATATGTGAGATATGGGAGCATGGATGCCAAAACTGGCAGTTCTCAGTACATGCGGAGAAAACAGTGGCAACCATTTTGACCAGTGGGCAATTTTGAATGCCTGGTTGAAATTTGTCCATGTAAAACAAGCCTATCATTACAAGATGCCCTGCTCAATTTGTTTCTCCAACCTAAGGAGTTTATGGAGCTCATGAAGCTTTTTACAATGGTTTTAAAGGATAAACCTGTTACATGTAAAGCTGTAAAGTACATTTGATGTGACATTATGGTTAATTAGGTTACAAATGCACTTTGAAGAATATCAAAATTTATGTAATTTGCATCTGGGAATGAAGACTGTCTCAGCCCATGCTGGATCATAGCATGATATGCCACAACCAGGAGAAAGTTGCAAGGACATCATAGAAGACATGTGCCCAGTTATGATTCTTCACATGCATTTGATATAGTTTCATGCAGATCCATGCTTATGTCTTTCCAGCCATTGGCATTAAAAAGTTGTAGTGAAGGATGAATAGTGCATGTTATGAGAAAATATTATCAACAGATGTTATGTAATATTGACTTCAGCCTAAATCCATGTTGCAGACTCAAATTGAAAAGAAACACAAAACTGGTGTCTGGGCTGTGTGTAGCCTGCCACCCTTCACACCACGCCTTCCAGCGCCGCACCCAGTCTTCCAGTCGGCCTTATGCTGGGGCGGCTGCTGCTGGCGCGCGGTGCGCGCGCCGGCCTGTCGGCGGCACTGTGGCCGCGGCGGCCGCTCTGCGCGGCGGCACCAAGCCTGGAGCGCGTGTCGTCGGCGCTGGGCTTAACCGAGGAGGACCAGCGTCGCCGCCAGCTGCACTTGATCATGCTCGAGTACGGCGAGCTGCAGATCTCGGGCGCGCGCGTACCCGACGCGCCGTCGCCGACCGACTGGGGTGAACTGCTGCGGCTGCCCACCTACTCGGCGCGTCGCAAGTACCTCGCTTACCTCTTCAAGCGCGAGAAGAGCCGCGAGAGCGACGCGGCACGGCGCCGGGAGCGCGTGGCGGCACGACGCGAGCTGGTGGAAACCGAGTCGCGCCCCGCGGGCCACCTGCAGTACGGGCTCGGACACAACAGCATCTTCCATCGGATCAGTGACATCACAATCAAGGACTGGAGCGAGCAGCGCCTTTACACGGCGATGCGCTTCGGGCAGCCACTGGTGATGGACCTCGGCTTCGAGGCGCACATGACACGCCGCGAGAACAAGAACACGGCGCAGCAGCTGAGCATGCTGTTCGCGCAGAACCGCGCCAGCCTCGACCCGTTCGATTTGCACCTCTGCAACGTCAACCGCGACGGCGAGATCATGGAGTTCCTGCGGCGCTTCATCCCCACGGTGGAGGAGCCCGCTTTCCCCATGCACCTGCACGCGGAAAACTACCTGGACGTGTACCCGCGCGACCGGCTGGTCTACCTGACGCCGCACTGTCGGCACGAGCTGACGGCGTTCGATCACGACGCCATCTACATCGTGGGCGGCGTGGTGGACCTGGTGAAAGGTCGGCCAGTCTCGCTGGCCAAGGCCAAGAAGGAAGGTCTCCGCATGGCCAAGTTGCCGCTCACCAAGTACTTGAGGTCAGTCGGGAGCCGGCAAGAGCGCAGCGTAATGGCGGGCACAGTTTCGGTCTCGTGCAGTCGTCTTTCGGCTTGGTGGTTTTGCCACGGGTGGGTGCTGTTGTCCAAGTTGTGCTTGTTGCTGGCAATGGGCCAGCATGATGGGGGCTCAGTGGCGGTCTCTCACATGTTACGAGACACTGGTAACAAAGCCGCATGCGGATAAGTGTCAATGGCTTTAGCACGAAAGTCGACTGGTGCTTGACGCCCTCCTCTCCCAGATATTGGTCGAAGTTCGTCTTTGTTACCGGATAGGCTGAATCTGTAAGTGGAGCATTCGAGTGGGTCAAAACGACGTCGACAAGAGCTAGCTTGTTTCATCGGCTTGTCCTTCTCCAGCTACCCCGTGGATCGAAGCTCGCTTGGCTCTGATCACACTGGATCTGATTGATCTGAAACTCTGGATCAATATTTCTGTAGACGGTGAGCCGCAGATTGTCCCGACTTTTGACTGAATAGACAGAGCCTCGGCGACGCAGTTGGGGCACCGCGTCACGTCATGGCAAGGCCCTTCGGTATTATTCGGTAGGGAAGCCCAGGGTATGCAGCATGACACCAGCTGCTCGGTACAACCCAGAGGGCGGGCCTGTATTAAGGCGGGGCAAACCGAGAGTGTGCTTTCAGTAAACGGAGCATTTTCATTCCATGATGTCTTTCAAGTGAAGCAATGCCGGAAGTTATGGTATTTCTTGATATGCTAGGTCTTTTGAGAACAAGAAAGACCCCGCGCTTGCAATGCTGCATGTTCCAGGCACGAATTGCGTATATATATATATATATATATATATATATATATATATATATATATACATGAATGTTTATTGGCGGCAATGGCATTGACCCAAAGCCAGAGCCAATATCAGAAAATTGAATAGGAGCTGGATGTCAAAAGTATTCAAACTAAGCTAAGAAGCATCCTTCACATAAGAAGCAGAAAAAGCGTGACGGTTTAACGAAGGTTAACTTCTTTTTACTTAGTCTTGAAGCTTCAAAGCATTATATGCGAAATGCTTTGGGTCATGCGTGATGTAGTTCTCTTCGTGGTGTGCAATGATGTCTTTTAAGTGACCTTTCACACGATGGCATGGACATCTCATACCTGCCCTTGCCCAAATATTGGTAAAGTACTCGAAGTATTTGTATCGCTTCGTTGCCACAGGATGTTTGTTAGTTATTTTGTCTTATAAAATGCCAGTCATTCTAAGTGGGTTTAGTGTGGGTTTTCCACCGTCTCAGATTTGTGTCAGTCGGAAAGTGTCTGAGTGTTTTAGGGCGCCAGTTTTGTGAGAGGCGTGAACTCTGCAATGTGTGTTTGAGTAACATACCTCCAGCTTACACTCATGGTTCGATTTGTCTCGGCCAAGTTCCGAAGCCCGATGTGGCAATAAACTGTTATGGTCCCCAAAGCTGCGCGTCGGAAAAGTTTTGCAAAAGTCAGCACGGCCTGGCTGAAGCCGGGATGGTGTGTTGGCGAATGGCTTGGGGCCGACATCTGGTGCGCGCTGTTTTCGAGGAAAGTTCTCTTTGGATCGTCGCGGTGATCGAGATCAAACCCACGGGATTGTAGCGCGCTGCTCAATGGCACAGCCGCAAGCAAAAACAAGCCATTCGGGCGGCGGATCCCGATGCTGCGCCGTCCTCAGAAGGTATCGATTAGCCAAGGATAACATGTGGATCACGTCTAAATATGGTTAGAGTGTGGCCAAGAGCAGTGCTTTTTCGCTGGCATGTCTGTCTAGCCTGTGTCTATCTAAACTTGTGCTGTCTCAGCTCGTGGCGCTCGGTAGGCCTTGCCGTCGCTGTCGTGACGTCCCGCTGTCTGAGCACGTGGCGTTCGGGAGGCCTTGCTGTCGCTGTCGTGACGTCCCGCTGTCCGAGCTCGTGGCGTTCAGGAGGTCTTGCCGTCGCTGTCGTGACGCCCCGCTGTCAGAGCTCGTGGCGTTCAGGAGGTCTTGCCGTCGCTGTCGTGACGTCCCGCTGTCTGAGCGCGTGGCGTTCGGGAGGCCTTGCTGTCACTGTCGTGACGTCCCGCTGTCCGAGCTCGTGGCGTTCAGGGGGTCTTGCCGTCGCTGTCGTGATGCCCCGCTGTTGCGCGGGGTCGCCCCTATCGGCCGTTTCTGAGTGGCCAAGGTATTGTGGCTTTCTAACGCTGCAGGCGGACAGCCACTGTTGCAGCAGCTCTGCCGAGTGACTAGCAGCATTATCTGGGTGTGCCTGGGCGGAGCGGACTGGTCTCAAGAGAATGGGGCTGCGCCCCGCTAAAGGTCAAGCAGGACGCGTCTGAAGTCGCTGGCTTTGATGACGGCCGGACTGAGTGACGATCGTATTTTTATGCTAGCTGCTCCATCCCGTCTGAGTTCTGCGTGTGCCGGCGACAAAAGGCGCGATTCCGAGTGAGGGCAGACGTCGGGCGTTCGGATGTCGGCTTTGATCGCGGCGCTCTTCTCTGTGGCAGAATGCGTTTAATGGACTGCTCTCTCGGTCGTGCGGAAGTCCTGTCAGCGTCAGATTACGTCCGAATTTTCGTCCGGCTGACCCTACGGTGATAAATGGCGTTTAGGCGTGGGTTATTAGAAGTTGGTAGATCCTGTTCAATTTGGGTGACATTCTCGGTGACAGACCTGTGAAATTGAAATGAATACGCTTTTAGGTTCACCGCCACCCAGCGGGCGTTACGGATTTAAAGGTAACTTTGTTAAGGAGTGATGCGGCTCAGTAGGATTTTTGATGAGTTGAATGTGCAGCTTTGCCATTTCCTGCTCAAATGACGTCATGTAGTTTAAACTGAAATGATTATTATTGGCTTGAAACACACCCCATTGGCCGGTTGAATACTACGAGCAAGCAATGACTTTTCGAAGGAAAAGGTCTAGTTTTCACTCGAGGCCATTGACTTTGTTTGACATTTAGAAGTTTAAACGGTCAGAGGGTTTTGGGTTTGGAATTTCAGCAGGCGTAAAGGATTAAAGGGATTACAAGGGCGCAAGGATTCAAGAAGCGTCAAGGATTACAAGGATTACTACAAGGTAGGCGGTATGTTCCTGAAAACAACAGGTTGATCGGGTTTATTCAAGGGCAGCGATCTATTCTGACCTTTAAGAAGCCTGTGGAAAATGTCCGCTACAGTCCTTGTCATCAAGAAATTCTGAACGGGCATAGAAGTTACCACATGAAACCGGTTCTCCAGTAAAAAAGCAGACCTGCTTTGATCCCGGTTGGACCTACATATATCATCCAAGGTTAATGGAATTTGTCGTAACATTGAACGGCATTGTTTAATTGCCTAAGAACTTATCTCATATATGTATTGATTCGTCTAAATACTCCGTTGTGGCATCAAATTGAATGATTCCCTAGACATTGCGTTTACTGACAGCTATTGCCTGAATATAAACCAACCCCCACGCCGGGCATTCTCACACCTTCGTTGGTGCAAGGGGGCAGAGTTGTTCGACCCGTTGGCGTTTCCAAACGAGACGTATTAAAGAGACTCCATAAAGACAGACGTGTGCTGCGGGACGAAATCCCCCGATTAGCGTCTTATTTCGTACGCAGATGGCATGGGTAACCCGTCGCAACTGGTCTAAGTTCAAGTTGTTAGCAAAAAGGTCTTTTTAGATTTGTTGCTATGTTCTCCACGACATTTTACAGCTGTAAAATTACGTTTTAGACGCAGGTCATTGGTCAGGTCACGAAAGCCGAACCCGCTGTATTGGCTTTATGCAAGGCGCAGCAAAACCGCAAGCATTTTTATAATGTAAGAGATAAATTGGTGCTGAATTAAAACCCACGAATTTAAGATACCCTGAAAGAAAAAGATGATATAAGCTCAACCTAGGTCAGTGTCCTCGGTTGGCCTTAATCATTGAAATAGTCTGTAGCATATATGCCTCAGCGCCAGTTGATCGGATGCGAATGACATGAGTCAAAATGCAGTATTTTAAGACGTGCTTTACATTAGGAATAACGCGTAGAAGTCGTATATGAGCGAATCATGCGCATAATACCATGCCGATTTTGATATACGCACACTCATCAAGAAGCCAAGTTCGGAGCATCGCTGTGCGGAGGCCTGACGCTACCCAAAGCCGTTGCCCGCTTCCCCATGCCACACCTACGCCGTGTGTGACGCCGCCGCCCGCCGGCAGTGTCGGGCCCTCGTTCAGCCCATCCCTCACGCTGGTCGCCATGATCAACATCCTGCTGGAGCTGCAGTCGTCGGGTAGGTGGGAGTGCGCGCTGCGCCACGTGCCGCGCCGCGGCCTGCTGACTGACGAGGAGAAGCGGGCTCGCGCCGAGACCGACCTGCTCCGGCTGCAGCATGCGCAGGCGGCGGCGCAGCGGCGCCAGCAGCGTTGGGAGCGCGCGCAGGCGGCAGCAGCGCGGCCTGCTCATTCCGCCGGGCGTGACAGACCTGCCCAGCCGCCCCGGTGAAGGCTGGAAGGACATCCAGAGGCACCCCGGACGGCCCAGTGGGCGAGGCCGCGCCCGCTGACGCTCCGTACGGTCGGCGGAGGGAGGGGGGGGGGGGGGGGCGGACTGGGCGGTCTTGTGCTGCGTGTGTGGCGCGCGCCGTGCGGCAGGGGCCGTGTGATGTGTGCCGTGCGACACGGGCTGTGTGACGTGTGACGTGCGACACGGCTTGCGTACTGGATGCTGTGCGACAATGGCGATACCAGAGCCGCTCCGGCTTTGCTGGCCGTTTGTCGTTATAAAGTGTAAGCACACTCGCTTTGAGAGCCTGGAGATCATTGTAGGGGCTTTTGTGTTAACGATGTCATCGTGATGGCAAGACGATGTCAACGATGCCGGATGATGCCGTCTCGTTTGCTCGACAACCTCTGCGTGTTGAGATGTCGTACGTGCTGATGTCGTATTTTGTATCTCAGTCGAATGGCACAAGTATCACTCAACACGGAATTTTCAGTCAAATATGAGTCGAGAAATGGCCGGCTCATTATGGAAAAGCGTAAACAAGTATTTAATAAAGCCTCGATAATAACTTGGTCGATCCCTGTCTCTGACGGGCTGGTGAAGCGTTGGCATGGGTGAGATGTCGGCCACAAGCGCGGTTCACGTACGAATATGAAGGCATGTCCGGGGCCATCCATAAAGCTGTGGATCTTTTGTTGGTTTCGATTCCCTTTTCTAGCCACGCACCAGTTACGCTGGGGAACCTCCTTCCCCATTGTTATGTTTTGTTAGGCGTAACGTCCCAAAAAGGAAGCGCCCGTCTGGTTCCTAAATAACCAAGAGATGCGACGCAAAAACGGGCGTGCTGCTCGTGAAAAGCATCTGGTATCCACTGATTCCGGCCCTAAGGTCTGTAAACATTTTGAAAGGACTTAAGCATAGTTTGCACTCAAACCTGGGCATAACGTTACGGCGTTCAAAACCCGTCTCCCTCGTTACGTTTAATTTACGCTCCACCAAACCCCCTTTCCCTTCTTGCGTGACGTAATTTATGGACAGCCGCCTCTCGACGCTTGGTCCTGGAGATTACTCACCACCACTGAGTAATGGGTGCGTTTCGTAACGCAAAATGTGGTTCCTGGACTGCATAGCGTGTGTGTAACCGCTCGATCACAGGATTACTGTGTAGACTTCCAAACAAGAACGTGGCTCTTCTCGTAAAGGAACGTGGTCAAACTGAAGGTTTGGGGCTCACCTCTGCGATCTCTTCCAAGGTTATCGTTCTTCATAGAGTCCCGATATGACCAAAACGGTTAGATATGTGGTATCACTGAAGATACCGGGTTTACTTGTCTCCCATGACATACACGCAATGCCATTGAATTCCTCCCCAGCCAATTACACTCTGATCACAAGCGGGTGGCAACTGAGCACCAATGTCCTTGTCCCAGTTGCAACGAGACAGGAGCAGATCGGCAGGCCGGTCGGTCCTTCCCGCGCGCGAGTGCCCCGCAGCTCTGGGGACCACACCTGCGTTGTGGAGACAGTATTCGTTCCCCGCGCTCGGGCACCCGAGACATCTGCAGACATGTCATGTAAAATAGAATCACATTCTGAAACTGCGACGTTGCTTCGACATGCCAGAACACGGGGTGCGCCGGACTGCTGCCCGGCCTCCCCGTAAACTTTTCCAATTGTGTGGCCTGGTCCCTTTTGCAGCGTACGCTGCCCCCAGGTTTTCCGATCACAGCCGTGGACACTGTCAGAGAATGCATCGCCCAAACTCGGGCTGCAGGCCGCCCCTTCATCACAGCATACAAGAGTGGAAACTTTACCACGGAGGTCGCTGAGTCGACAGGCAACGACGTGGCTCCGAACCCCCGGCAAAGAAGCAGACGAGCGCGCAAAAGGAAGTTTGCTTTATTCACATCGAGCCGTCGGTCAGAGTATATACATGCCTCCACGCTCCTACGCCTGCCTTCCTCGCTGGTGCCATCATCTCCACACAAAACCAACAGAAGTCGTCAGTGGCCCAGCTGGCCGGGAATGTTTAGATGAAACGGGACGTGCGCGGACAGGTGTAATAAAATACGTATACGCCAGGCGCCTCATATACCGTACGCAGCAGGAAGTCTTTAAACCCTAGCCAACTCAGCTGAGCTCCTGCCAGTCCGTAGCTAGCCCACGCGCACGAGCAGACGACGCAATGGCGCCGCGAGCAGCGACCACTCCATACCATCCGCTGGCGCTACCAGCCCGTCCGCCGAGGGCGGAGCGCACCGCCCGCCCACAGTTGTGCACTGGTAGCCGTCGCCGACAGATTGTCGTCAAAGACCGCCGTCGGCCCGAGCGACCAGCCGACGGGCACGTTACTCGAACAGCCACACTGACCTGAACAGAAGCGCCGGCGCGATCCAACAGAAAACCCCGGACAGCCACGACACGACCGACATCGTGGCCTCAACAGAATCTTCAGGCGGGCTTGAACGGAGCCGTCGTGCTGGCCCCTGTCGCTCGGACGCGGCACGGCGCTGTGGGCCAGCGCGGCCGGCGCCACCGGAGCCTGACGCGCTCGACAACCGGAGACACCGCCTCGACGCTAAATAGGACAAACGCCGACGGCCCGACCAGACGTCCTGCACGGAGGTCGGTCCGCCGGCACGCTCCCGCCACTAGTCACTGAACAACACACGCACGCGCGCGCGCACACAACGGTGCTGGAGAGATAATCACAGGACGACACCGATCGGGTACAGCGGGGCATCACAAGGCGGCACACGGCGCCAGTGTGGCATCGCGCCGCCAGGTGGCGCGGCGAGCGACGCCGCCGGCCGGTGCGCGCTCGCTGGGGCAGCTCACGGCCGCTGCCGACAACACGCAGGGCGCCGTCAGCGGCGAGTCATCGTGACTCGTGCCGGCGACTCGTCACGACTCACGGAGGCAGCTATTCAGCCGGCGGCGTGGCGCCGGCGCAGGGCTTGGCGTCAGCTCTCACTCGCCCGGCTCCGACTCGTGCGGAGGCGAGCGGCGGCCGCCCCCGCACGCCGGCGCCGTCGCCGATTCGGATGGCACTGGCGGCCGCCGGTGTGGAGCCGGGCGCTTCGAGCAGGCCGCATTGTGGGCTGGGGAGGGCGTCAGTAAGACTTCCGATCGATGCTGAGGCTCGCCGGAAGCCGCCACTGGTGTGCAACTCTGACGCCGCCCGAAATGTCTCCAAGCAAAAATAATACAAACGTTCTGGGAAACAATAATTACTACAGACCTTTGTTTATCATTGATTACCTTAAATCGCTAACAATGTCAGTCATTAAAACCGCCAAGAACACGGTCTTACTCAGTACGACCGTGGGCGCATCCGAGACACACACCACGCCCTCAACTCAACGGAGACACCCCACCGGGGATAAGAGAGACGACGGAGGCATGCCAGCTTTTTGGGGGTCAAAACGACAGGCAGGAGATTAGAACACGGTCGTCATTATTACCGCTGGGTTGGCGAGCGCGGCGCCGGTGGACGCCGACATCGGCCAGCGGCCAGCCGCGTGTCTTATTCACCGACGCGGCCCTGACCCAGCCCCGAGGGCGTCCGGCCTGGGCCGGCAGAAGCCGACGGACCGCGCCCGCCAGCTGACGAGGGGGGGGGGGGGCGACGGCGCGACAGGCCTGCCCGTCGGCATAGCGAGATGACGCATCACAGTGTCGTATAACGGCCTTAAATGCATAACCAGTGACTCGAACGCGCGTCTCCCAAGCACTTTGTACATCCGTCATGACGAAGCGCGAAGACGCGCGCGCGGCCGAGACAGCGACGGCGCGCAGCCCTCGCCGGAGCGTCGCTCGCTCGTCCTCCGGCCGAGACAGCGCCGTCGATCTCCTGCCTGGCGCGTGCCGCCGCGCCGGCAGCGGCGGCGGCTCCAGCGGCGGCGGGTCCAGCTCGCCGGCCGCCTCCCGCTGCGCTCCCGTCGGAGCTCGCTCTCCAGCGCGGCGGCGGCGGCGGCGGCGGCGGCTCCGATCGATGGCCGCCGGCGCGCGCCGCCGCCCACCGGAAGTGTCGGCCATTACTGGGCGGCCTTGCGCTCCCGCGACGGCGACCGGCTACTGTTGAGCGCCAGCAGCCGCATCTGCCTGATCACCGCCGTCGCATGGTACGCTTGCTGCCGGCAGACACGACGATATCAGCGTTAGCCGAGGCCGAGCGGCCAACTCGTGCAACGAGCACGCAGTGGAACAGGGGTAGATGAGCCGGCGTTGTGCTCGTGTTTACGGAGAACTGTAACTGGGCGATTCACCCGTATAGGGTGATCCGACTGGAGGGAGAGGTTAATGAAAATCTGACGTGCACTCGGTTTTGGTAACCATGCCCCAACTTTCTTCCGGTACGTATCGCCTGCTGTTCATATTTTCAAAAAATAATGCAAGGTCGAGAACATTAACAGTAGCATTGCGCGGACCAATTCTAAATACTATTTACAACACTGTTTAGTGACAAATTGCTTGATTTAAAATAAAGCTTTTTGCAAGACGCACGCACGCACGCACGCACGCACGCACGCACGCACGCACTCACGCACGCACGCACACACACACACACACACACACACACACACACACACACACACACACACACACACACACACACACACACACACACAGAGGACGTGTCAACACGGGAGCAATATCGTCCGGCCGGCGGCCGACCCGGGCGACGCCGCGAGCACACAAACAGGCCGGGGTGAGGCGACGGCGGCCCGTCGAACACGGCGACGCCAGCTGATCAGCCTCAATGAGAGGCTGCTCCCAGCGCCGGGCCAGTGTGTTAGACACGCCCCACCACGTGGTCGATGGCGGGGCGGGGAGGGGGGTCACGTTCTCCGCAACACGGGAGCAAGGCATGACGGCACGGACTCGCTGACTTCGGCAACACCTTACCCTGGACGTGGGTGAGACTCACGGCTGTCACTGTCCCTCAATGCCGGGACCCTCATCACGGTCATAGCCACGGAGGCGTCTTCCCCTCCAGAATGTACCACTTCGCACTCTCCCCGCCTTTCGAATGATAAGGCTCCCAAGGCTGCCCGGATCGCAGACCCAAATCTGCCTTTGTCGGTCTCTGGCCAGCGCGTGTTGACCTCCGCACACCAGACCCGCCGCTACGCCCGACCGTATTCAGCCTTTCCCCTGAAAATACCGGCGAAATTGGTACCGCCACCGCTGCAATCGGAGCCGCAGATCCTTCCGCTAGCTGCTCACATTTGCCCTTACGACCAAGAAGACTGGCAGTGTCCGAACAGAGAGCACGACAGAGTAGAACCCGAACGGGGCTGGCATCACGCAATAACGCTGTTCAGGTGGGCGTCTGGGCCGCAGCCTCGTCCGTTTCCGAGCTTCTGCAGCGAGAGCCGCGGCCGTGCTAGACACAGGGCCCCTGTAGCGAAAGCCGCGGCGGCGCCCGACCCCGAGCTTCTGCAGCGAGAGCCGCGGCCGTGCTAAACACAGGGCTCCTGTAGCGAAAGCCGCGGCCGCGCCCGACTCAGAGCTTCCGTAGCGAGAGCCGCGGTAACGCCCGACTCAGGGCTTCTGAAGCGAGAGCCGCGGTAACGCCCGACTCAGGGCTTCTGAAGCGAGAGCCGCGGTAACGCCCGACTCAGGGCTTCTGAAGCGAGAGCCGCGGTAACGTTCGACTCAGAGCTTCTGTGGCGAGAACCGCGGTAACGCCCGACTCAAAGCTTCCGCAGCGAGAGCCGCAGTAACACCCGACTCAGAGCTTCTGTAGCGAGAGCCGCAGGCGAGCTCCCGCCCAACTCAGAGCTTCTGAAGCGAGAGCCACGGTAATGCCCGACTCAAAGCTTCCGTAGCGAAAACCACGGCAGCGTCCGCGCGGCGCGTCCACCCGCGGTGCGAATGACGCCGCAGCTGGGCCCGGACCAGCAGCGACCTTCCTCTGGTCGGTCGCTCTTACTCACGCCGTTCGTATCTGCGACAGGTGGCTACTGGCCGCGACGCCTGCACAGCGACAGTTCGATCCGCGCGGATATAGCCTCTGTGTTCCCAGCCCGGCACGCCGCCACCGCCGCCGGATCGAACGAACATCGCCCGGCGGGGGGGGGGGGGGGCACACCTCGGGGGCCGTCGGGACGCCGCGTGACGGATCGCACCGGCGGCGGAGCGAGCCTTTGTCTCCATATCGAGCCGCCCGGAGATGGTGGCGGCCGGCCGGAGTGCGGCGGGCTGGCTGGAGCGGGCGGGCAGACTGGAGCGGGCTGGAGCGGGTGGGCAGACGACGGCGGATGCCCGGGTCCTGGCCACGGCTGACCGCGGTCGTCGCGCTGGTCTCGCTGGTCTCGCTGGTCGCGCGGAGGGCTGCTGCTTTGGAGGAGCGGCCGGATGGCCGCTGGCGGCCGATTATGGAGAATTGTAACTGGAGATGCGTTCGCAGATTTGAAGCCGCGAAATATGTTTCGCCACGTCACACGTGCTCTGTACGACGCGAGAGAAGAGAGCGGAGCGCTATAGAGTACACTCCTGACAGCAGTACACGGCCGCCTTCTACCGTCTGATTGGATGACACGTCCTTTCCATGTAAACAAAGATCTTCTAATTTTTGCGGCGGCACTTCAGGCAGAGAAAAATGTAAAATACCGCCAATAGTTGCTGGGGCAAATTATTTGACCCTTGGAAAACCACAAGGGACATCCCGTAAGTATCCGCCCGCTTCGGCGAGCTGGCGCGAGTCCACTGTGGGCGAGACACTGAGTGCTCCCCGGAGCGAAATAGTTCCACAACAGACCACGCTGCTTCTTATTGCATTGCCGTAGGAGTTGGCAACTCTCCCCGGCTCTGCCCCTGTCCCTCGTGCCAGTGCCGACCTCTCCGGCCCTGCCCCTGTCCCTCGTGCCAGTGCCGACCTCTCCGGCCCTGCCCCTGTCCCTCGTGCCAGTGCCGACATCCCCGGCCCTGCCCCTGTCCCTCGCGCCAGTGCCGACCTCTCCGGCCCTGTCCCTGTCCCTGTCCCTCGTGCCAGCGCCGACATCTCCGGTCCACTCTGCGTCCCTCGTGCCAACGCCGACCTCCCCGGTCCTGCCCCTGTCCCTCGTGCCAACGCCGACCTCCCCGGTCGTGCCCGCGTCCCTCGTGCCAATGCCGACATCCCCGGTCCATTCCGCGTCCCTCGTGCCAACGCCGACCTCCCTGGCCCTGCCTCTGTCCCTCGTGTCGACGCCGGCCTTGACTGAGAGCGCCACCCCGGACAGCGGCCGGCCGCCCCTGCGGCGTCTCCGCTCTGCGCCGAGCTCCGGACAGCGGCCGGGCAGAGTCGTTCCAAACGACAATAGCGGTGCCGATGTTTTACGAGACGGCCGACCGGCCGGCTGGCGGCGGCGGCGATGGCGGCGCCCGCATCCCATCTGACCTAATCGCCGAGGGGGCGGCTGGCGCGCGCGCGGCTGCTACCCGCTCCGGCGACGAGACGGCTACTCTGAGCAATGGACGAGTAATGGCTGCAAGAGCGGCGGCGGGCCGGCGCCTGCTGAGAGAGGCCGGCCGCGGGCCGACCGCGTAAACAGGCCATTAGCGGCGGCCGGCGGCGGCCGGCATCGGCGCCGATTAACGCCCGGTGATGCGTGGCCAGATACGGCCGGGTGAACTCCCTGGGGGCCGGCAGGACATGGCCGAACAATCATCAGCTCTGAGTACGGAACGCCGGGGCGGCCTGTACACTGGAGGATCCACGTTCAGCTGTACGGCGTGACGGCGCGGCGACCATTGAGGAGACCAAACGATCCAGCCACCCCGCCGCGCCTTAGGCTTACGTGACGCGGTGTCTAGCTGGGCAACACACCCACGGGTCACAAGGTGAGCCGGTGGATAGCGGCATATTAGTCAGCCACGCACGCGAATCACAGACGTTGGCCAAGCAGGCAAACACAAGAGAATGGCCCATGGGGCCCATTACCGTACCACATCACACAAAACAGTCATACCACATTAAACGGCCGTTTTGCCTCAGGGTCTGCTACGGCATTACATCACACTAACCGGACATTTCGCGCACATCGAGTCATGGTCTCGGTCATCAGATGGCGGGTTCGGCTACACTATGGAGCCAGCTGGTAGGTCTGGCTACACTAGCTCAGCCAAGACGGCAGCCGGTGCAGCTGCGCTCCAGCGTCCCAGTCGATACTCACTCGCTGGAGCACGCCGACTTGGAAGCCGTTGGGAGCACGGGGGGATCTACACATGACGGGACTTGCAGCAACGCACGCCATGAAAGCACTCAGTACATCTAGGCTCGGAATCTGCGTGTGTGCGTATGCGCAACATTGATCCTTGGCCCTACGTGCAGTGGCGCTCGTCTACACGACAAACATGGGACCCACACATAACACCAGTGCTGGAGCGTGGGCGCTAGCTAGACGCAGTCAGTGACATTCAATCGACATGCGCACGCAGATCGGCGTTGCTTGACAGTGTGCTACAACGCCGGACACAACAGCCGCTAGGTCCAGACACAGCCGCAGCCGGCGCCGCTCGCTAGACACGCCGCCCGGCGCCGCAGTTCACAGCCAGACGTGAGGTCTACGCTCTGTGGCAGCCGGTGGTGCTGGCTCTTGACTACAGGATGTGGCGGTACGCGCGCGGTGCGGTGGGATGACACAGAGCGACAGCCGTCGTCTCTAGACAGCAGGGCCGGGCCGGGCCGGGGCGAACGCCGACAGACCTGCGGACCGGTTGGCGGCCGGGCCGGCCGGCTCGGTGGTGGCGGCGGTGGCGGCGGCCGTGTTGACAACGGCAGCGGTGACGGCAGCTGGGGCGGCGGCGGCAGCGGGGGCGCGCCCGGCGGCGCCCGGCGCCTCCACCTCCATACTGGTGCTGCTCAGTCGCATCCGCTGCATCTTGTGTACCATCACTATGGCATGCATAAGTTGCTGCGGCCGGCGCCAGGCACGCGTCAGCGCCCGGGGCGACTGGGGCACGCCGCAGGCAGGCGCCGCACTCTCGCATGCAAGCACACATACACTCACTCTCCCGCTGGGGCCGACACAGCTCCATCCCCACACATACGCGCGCACCCAAGTCATAGCAGGTGCACGACGCGCGCCCACACCTCCACCGCACACGTACACCCACACAAATGTATACACACGGAGAGAACTCATCCACGTGGCGCCAGGCCTGGTGTGGACCGGCCAGCATGCTCACACGCATCAAACCCCACGCCCAAATATGTGCTCATGTGCGCACAGGCGTCAAGCGCACTCCCTCCTCAAACAACCGTACACAGCCGCACCCACGCGCGAGCGCGGGCGGTCCGTGTCTCCACACACCGCACAAGCCCCCACCATTGCGCCGGGAGCCGGCGAGCGCCGGTGGGCCGCGGCAGCCGGCGCCGGCGCGCGCCGGTGGGCCGCGGCGGCCGGCGCCGGAGGGCGCAAGCCAAGGGCACCGACAGCAGCCGAATGTGACCGCCCAGTCCCGCCTGAGGGCTCCTGGTGCCGAACACCGGCTCAAGCGGACCAAGCTACCAAAGGCCGGGAGTGGGAGGCCGCCAGAGAGGAGCAGCGGCCCGAGCAGAGGAGCGCACCCGGCCGACGCCCGCCCACTCACCCGCCACCGCGACTTGGCGAAGTTTTTCTTGAGTTGCTCGGAGACGGAGCTGTGAATGTCCTTGTCGCGCGCCGTGTTGCCGCTGATCCTGAAAGCGGACACGCCGTGTCAGCGAAGCCTGTGCGCGGGCACAGCAAGCGCCTGACAGTTCCCTACCCCCACACCACCCCGGCCGACTCGGGGCAGGTGGCCTGAGCTTCGCCCCTCTTGTGGCGCCGGCCGCCGGGTCACGGTTACCGACCACGCGGCGCGTTCGTGACGGAAAATCTCGCCGCCGCCGCGCGACCGCCGGGACCAATGCCCGTCGGCGGGCACACGCCACGCGGGACATCACGTGCGCCCCGGCGGCACGTGATCGGGCGCCTCGCAACAGAAGCAGCACCGCCTGGCGCGCGGCCGCTCCAATATGCTGGCAATGTCACGAGGCAATGAACCACCACACAGGAAGTCCATTCCTGCGACGGACTGTCCCGCATACTGCCCTGTTGGCATCTGGCGTATCGACTGGCCAGCAAGACCACGTCTTCATGCATGGCCGGCGATGTCTCGTCCAGCAGGCAGCGGTCTTCAGAGGTCACACCTCGCTTCCCGGCGGGTCCCCCGCCGACACACGGTCCACAGAGGTCACACCACGCCTCCCAGCGGGTCCCCCGCCGACACACGGTCCACAGAGGTCACACCACGCCTCCCAGCGGGCCCCCGCCGACACACGGTCCTCAGAGGTCACACCTCACCGTCCAGCGGGTCCCCCGCCGACACACGGTCCTCAGAGGTCACACCTCACCGTCCAGCGGGTCCCCCGCCGACACACGGTCCTCAGAGGTCACACCTCACCGTCCAGCGGGTCCCCCGCCGACACACGGTCCACAGAGGTCACACCTCACCGTCCAGCGGGTCCCCCGCCGACACACGGTCCACAGAGGTCACACCTCACCGTCCAGCGGGTCCCCCGCCGACACACGGTCCTCAGAGGTCACACCTCACCGTCCAGCGGGTCCCCCGCCGACACACGGTCCACAGAGGTCACACCACGCCTCCCAGCGGGTCCCCCGCCGACACACGGTCCTCAGAGGTCACACCACGCTTCCCGGCTGAATGGTGTGGTTGGGCTAAGAGTTTTGATGGTGATGGTGATGGTGATGAAGGGCTTGCCGAAAGGAGTGTCCCTGGTTTTATTTTCTGCACCGCGTAAGTGAAGCCTGGACATGCTTTTTGCGCCGCCAATGTATATGTCGACGTGATTTTGTAATGTGGTTGGTCGCCAGTGTCACGCAGGGTTGGCTGGTTATCGTCTTTACGGGGTTTCTGGTATAGCACCCGCCGCCCAATCCCGTCTTGCAACGAAGGCAACGACGACATTTTTGTTTTGTCCGGTGGGCATGGGCGTTGGTCCAAGACGGGCTGAGCAAGATGCTGGACAAGGGTTTGCCACGCGGCCACCGGAGCTTTGATCTTCTTGGTACTGTGACTACCTTCCTGGTGAGAGTATCGCCAATGAATGGAAGGCCTACGTAAGCAGCACAGTGATAGCCTGGAGAGCGCCGTAAGCGAACGCGCCTTCTGGGGTGCACTGACGAAGAATTGGTTTTTTCTCGAAACTGAATCCAACGGGTATCCATCAAACATGGTTTGAAAAACGATGTCTTTTATCATGCATCACAAAAGACAAGTTCGCCGAGGGTACAAACCCGGCAAGCACTCAACCTGCTTACGAAAGTCTTTCATTTATTGCCAATGCTCTAGCCAGGATGGTAACTACAGTAAAAAGAAGATCAAGGCCCCTCTGCGGGAAGCGTGGTTGGGTGCCAGGCTCTTGTTCAACGTTAAGAGCAAAATGTCATCATTGTAAGGCCGAACTGAGCGAAAGATACCCCCAAACGCCCTTCAGACCGCCTGCCATCTTTGCGTGACACAGTGACAACCAAGCTCAGCACAAATTATGGCGATTTAATTTTTGGGACGCGCAAATACATTGATATGACGTCATACGGTGTCGTCGATGTTCATCGTTGACGTCGTCATATGGCGACCATTAACCAAACCACAAAATCATACACCCATAAACCTTGGCAAAAGAAAAGGAAAAGGCAGGTAGTCCTTCACATAACGTCGACGCGGTGTGAAAAATAAAGCCATGAAGATTCTTTTAGGCAAGCAAATAATTAGCTGAAAAATTCTCACCTCACCGAACATCTCACCTGAGCGAAACCACCCGCCACAAGGCGCTCCACATCAAAATACTGCGCACACTCAAGGATGTGGCACGACTGGCCATAAAACTAGAAAGGAAAGACCAGCCCCGAGCATCATGATATCCCGCTGGACACTGGTTAAGAAACTTTCGTGCAACACCACCACGCAATACTCACAAAACTACACCACCACTGGATGGCGCCACACTACCAATGGATGGCGCTACAACACCACTGGATGGCACTACACCACCACTGGATGGCACCACACCATCACTGGATGGCGCTACACCACCACTGGATAGCGCTACACCACCACTGGATGGCGCTACACCACCACTGGATGACGCTACACCACCACTGGATGGCACTACACCACCACTGGATGGCACTACACCACCACTGGATGGCACTACACCACCACTGGATGGCGCCACACCACCACTGGATGGCACTACACCACCACTGGATGGCGCTACACCACCACTGGATGGTGCCACACCACCAATGGATGGTGCTACACCACCACTGGATGGCGCTTCACCACCACTACTTGGCGCTACACCACCACTGGATGGTGCTACACCACCACTGGATGACGCTACACCACCACTGGATGGCGCTAAGGTGAACAGATCACGTCGCGTACGCGTGTGCATGCACTTTTCAATGTTGCGTACGCACAGGACGTCAAAACTGCGAGGAGGAAATTATATGAAAAAAATAATGATGGTGAGGCTGGACGGGGCCGATGGTGTGAAGCATCTGAAATGTTAATTTTACGCTATGTAAATGCGACATAATAGTTCTCTGTGCATGTTTCAAATAGTGCGAAATCATTGTAATACGTCTCTATGCATGTTTTAAGTAGTGCGAAATCATAAGTTACCGATGCATTCAATGCGTGGCCAATTTGTCAAAACTGGGCCTTGTATGTTTGATCATCATTTAGTCTTCAAGTACCTGCAAAGAGAAATACATCGCCCCTTTTGCGGTTCTATTCAATAACATGAGCCAAAGCCATTCAATATACTTTACCTTGTTCGTGCCGGGGATGATGCCCGTCTGAACACCGGGTATACATCTCTGAATGAAACGGCGTATCTTTGAGATCAATTCTCCTCGCGTGACAACACGAAACGTTGCTGGTGGGTTTTAACCGTCTTTGGCTTTGGCAACACATGATAGCACTCCAAATGCACATGTTTAATTAGCATTCGGCGTGCTCCCTGGCGGGACCGTCTTCCCAGTCATGGTGGGCGGCTGGTCGGCCAGCCTCATCAAACGGCGTCAAATGGCTCGGCGCGCCGGTTGCCGGCCGGGCTCTGCGGAGCCTTCCCAGGGCAGCGCCACTTCCCAGAACAAAGTCTTGGGACGTTGCCACGCGCCAGCGCCCGTACGGCTGCGGATAACGAGCCTCTCAGAGACAACTGCAGCATGCGGCGCCGTCTCCGGGCGTACAGCGGCCCCAGCTGGGCCGGTGTCCAGCCCCGGCGGGGTAGCGGCGCCGCCTCGAGGCGCACAGCGGGCCCAGCTGGGCCGGTGTCCACCCCGGTGGGACAGCAGTGTCACCTCCGGACTCACAGGGGGCCCAGCTCGACCGGTGTCCACCCCGGCGGGACAGCAGTGTCACCTCCGGACTCGCAGCGGGCCCAGCTGGGCCGGTGTCCACCCCGGTGGGACAGCAGTGTCACCTCCGGACTCACAGCGAGCCCAGCTCGACCGGTGTCCACCCCGGCGGGACAGCAGTGTCACCTCCGGACTCACAGCGGGCCCAGCTGGGCCGGTGTCCACCCCCGGTGGGACAGCGGTGTCACCTCCGAGCAGAGCAGCGGCGCGCGCCGCGGCGCTCGCGACACTGACCTCATGACCTCACTCGAGAGTGACCAGCGGGCAGACACATGCCCGAAGGCGAGCGAAGCGTCCCCAAAGGCCGCGGTTGCGAGAGCAAGGGAGCGATGGCATCCCCGGGGACTGATGCAGACATTACGAGACGCCACTCGAATGGGGAGGCGACAATGTCGCTGGCGGAGCGGAACCATCCAGCAAGCACCAGCGCTGTCGGCTTCCTTCCAGAAGTATCGTCCGCAAGTCACGGGATGGGGTAGTTTCCCTTCAGCAGAAGTCCTCATACTTGGGGTAAAGCGTCGGCGAGACCACGATGACATCACATTGCTCGCGCTCGCTGCCGCGCCTTCGGGAAAATCCGGTACAACCGTCGTTTGGACTACACGGAATAATATGAGGAGCCTAACAACGTGCATCGTTACGAGAGAAAAACGCCCAATTGCCGCCATCGAAGAAACGGCTGAGCGGCATAGTTCAGATTCGACGTAGTTTTCTGCTGAGTTGGGCCCCAAACTCGTCTCGCTATTTGGCGCCCCAAAACAAGACACAAAGAGAGGCGCTGCACAATACGGTCTTTTGTACGGCCCTGAGGCGGCGCATTCAGCTTAAGGCAGGACCAGCCAAAGCTGGTGGCCGAGGGAGAGCCGTGACGGCGCGGCCCGTACCAGGGGTGCTGGAGCGCCTCCTTGCAGGTGAACCGCTTCTCCGCGTCCACACACATCAGCTGGCGGATGAAGTCCTTGGCCGAGTCGCTGATGTCGTCCCAGTAGGGCGAGTCGAACTCAAATTCGCCTGCAAACAGGCACGCCGCCACTCGCTGCGTCAGAGCAAACAGGCTCCGATTTTGCTGCCAGTGACGATGTCAAAGCTATTCCACTTTCACAACCATCTAGTCATACACTCTTTTGGCGTCGGATCATCTGCAGCTTCTGAAGGCATAATTGCCTTCCTTTCGACAGGACGCTGTTTTCGTATAAGGGAGTGAACTTGTAAAACAATGCATATTTCACTTAACTCGGACTGCACTGCATTCGTGCGCTAGATACTCCGTGTTGTGTCTGCATTTGTGTTCGTTAAACAAGTTCTCGTCAATACCTTTCAGAATCTGAGCGAACAGATTGGCGTCGTTCTCGTCATAGAATGGTGGGTATCCGCAGAGCAGGATGTAGGCGATGACGCCTATACTCCAGACGTCCACGGCCTTGCCGTAGGGCTTCTGGGCGAGGACTTCGGGCGCTGAAACGTCACAACAGAGAGTGTTACACAAACACACATCAACAAAGAACGCACAGACGATGACAGCCAGACGGCGGGGAATATAGTGCCAAGACAAACACAGCGGGGTTTGGAGTGAGGCGTAGGTCAGAAGTCAAACAGCGCTGATCCGTGGGACTCGACTCTACAGGGCCCGCGTACACGGAGTGACAGGAGCGCTCTCAACGGCGCGAGGCAGCCGACCGGCGTCGATGCGAGCATGAGCAGCGGGGCCCCGCCGAGCAGGCGACCCCGGCTCCAGTGGGAGGTGTGACTCCCCGGCGAGTTCCCTGAACTCAGTCCAGCCCACATCAACCCCCATCCCCGCTCGCGGGCGGCCTCTCACTACCATCCTAAGCCTCGGCCGCCACGCTGAGGTGTACTTCCTGCCGGTCCTCTGGGCGGGCACCGCCAGCTGTCAGCCTACCGCCGACGTCGCGGCCCGGATCGGTCGCCGCCGGCACCGTCCGAGCGCTGACCGCCGTTCATGGCCGACTGGGCGGCCCGGCGGCCCGGCGGCCCGCCCGCGGCGCTCGGCTCTGATCGCGCCGGCCGGCGGCGATCGGCGGCTTTGTTCCCCGATCGTCCGGCGGTCAGGGCCGGCCGATCGAGGCCACGGCTCGGCTCGGCGGCGGCGGCGGCGGCGGCGGTGGCGGCGGCCGGCCGACCGCTCGCCGGTCTGGACAAAACGCCGCCATCGGCCCACGGCGCCCAGCCAGGTTGTGCCGGCCAGAATCACCAGCTAGCTGTTAATGCGTGCGGGGCCGGACGGTCCGGCCACATTGGACTCGGGACAAGGGGATAAAAACCTAGTCAGGGCCGTAAACAGCAACGGACGCACGCCGACTGGGTTTTTAGTGTCAGCACCGTCGACTGGGTCAGGCGAAACCTTCTTTCCGAAACGGATGAGGAGCGCCACTCCCCGACGAACAAAAAATAAGGAGTCGCGTGGAAAATGTGGGCAATCATGAAGACACATCGGACGAATCGAAGCTCCCGCGAGTGACGGGGTTAAGGAAATCGACACATCTTTCACTGCCGTAGGGGCGCCGAATGTCCGCCAGCGGGACGGAAGGCTGCCACGCTCGATTCAGACGGCTTTAGCGGACAAAGGCGGACCGGCGACGGAACAGCTCAACGACAGGGAGAGCACCCGGCCACCGGGCTTAGAAGTTTTGGTAGGGAGCGACGCGAACGCAGAACCATGAGTCTCCAAGCCAGAAAAACACTGAAGTGGCAGCGAAGGTAATATGAGCATTTTGAAGAACATTTGAACCTGAAAACATTTCAAATGAGACAATGGTTCCAAGGCAAAAGCAAGCACACATCAAACAAAGGCAAATGCCGACAGTCCTGTAGGTTCAGCTCTAACCCATATGCCTAACAGAAGGCCACGGGGGGCGATTGAGTCACGTCAGCCGACAATAGTGTGTCTGCCGAAACGTGAGCAGGTACACCCGCCTGCCAGCAACAAGCCAGGGGAAGGGGACAGGAGACGAACCGCCAGCTGCCAGAATAGCCACTACCCGCGCGCGGTCCGTCTGCCAACAGCGGCAAATAAATAACTCCGGGGCCTGGAGCTGCCTTCCGAGCAGCCGGGCGCGCGTCCCACCGGACTCTGGGGCAGACCATGGGACGAGTCCCGACAAGTCCCGCGGCCTGACCCACAGGCGGGCCAGGAACTGCATACGCGTAATGAAGGGCTCAGCGAGCCGCGCACGCCGACAGTCGGGCTTCAGGAACTGCGAACACCGACAGTCAGGCTTCAGGAGATGCGCACGCCGACAATCAGGCTTCAAGAACTGTGCACGCCGGCCGAAAGGCTTCAGAAGCCATGCACACCGAAAGTCGGGCTTCAGGAACTGTGACGACCGACGGGCAGGCTTCAGGAATTGCGTAGACCGAAATTCGGGCTTCAGAAGTCGCGCACCGACAGCCGAGCTTCAGAAGCCACACAGACGAACAGAAGGGCTCCAGGAGCTGCAGAGACCGACAAAAGAGCTTTAGGAGCTGCGCAGACCCAGCAGTTGGGGTTCAGGAGCCGCGCGGATCAACTGGCGGGCTTTAGGAGCCAAATAAGCCGCACGTAGTGTTTCTTGTCGGCAGGGGATTTGAACAGGAGATTCCAACACACACAAGTGGGCACACGTGGGCTACACAGGTGGGCAGAAATGCGCGTCAGTTTACCGTAGGCATGGGCGTAACTCGGAGCGGCTCTCCAACACGGTGCAGCCATCCCTGAGCCCCACTCCAACACCGCACAACGCAGACGCTGGGTCTCATTCAGGACAACGAGGCTTCTCACAGGTCGAGAGTGGCGCGCCCAATGCTCAGCGCGCGCTGTACACACTTGCGCACCGCTGTCGGTAGGCTATACCATATGACACCAAGGCCCAGCATCACACTCAGAGTCATAGGCTCACGCGATCAGAATATGGTGCACAGCAATGCACGTCAGGTGTCCGATCAGAATATGGTGCACAGCAATGCACGTCAGGTGTCCGATCGTCCCACCCGACCTAGGCGACGGCAGGCCGACGCATCCGTCAGGCAACACGGGTCTCGTCGGTGTCCCGGCCCGCCCCCGCATCAAACAGGGCATGTCCGTACGTCTGTATCAAACAAGGCATGAACTGTACTGCGGCCCCCACGGCCGCGGCGGGGCCACGGCCTCCACCCTCGGCGTCCCCGCCCGGGGCGGCCGCCGCCTGCCGCCCCGGGCGGCCGCAGCGGGCCCCAGTCGGCCAGCCCGGCCACGCACCGACGTATCCCGGCGTGCCGCAGGCCGTGGCCATGATGCCGGAATCCTCCATCTTGCTCAGACCAAAGTCGCTGATCATGATCTTGCTGTCCTCGTCCTGGCTGAAGTACAGCAGGTTCTCCGGCTGGAAGGGGAGCAGGGGGTGATCAGACGGCGGTGTCCGCGGGCCGCCACAGCGACAGAAGCGCCTTCAGATGGGGCGCAGTCGACACTGGGACGCCGACAAGACACCCCCAGCCACGGGCTTAGCGCAGGCGTCAGTCATGCGCCGTGTTGCACCGACATCGCACACGGTACGTCGCCGACATGACGCGTTTCTGGGCGACTGCTACAACTCGCAACACACAACGTCAAAGTAACAACAGGTGAATGTTCCGTTCTTTCCTCAACGAAACGGCATGATTTGGTGGTGTGTAAATTAAGAACGTTCCGTAAACACCGTGGATCAAAGCAATGGCTTCACCACCCGCATATATCACTGACGCTGACTAGTTTGTTACCTATTTATTTTTCACATCTGCGTTAATTGGATAACATCTTCTGCATAGCAGACGACTTGGAGCACAAAGGTACTCATAAACCCTCCTTGATGTAACCAATTAACATGATGAGAATAGAACTCAAAATCTCACAAGCATTCGGTTAAGGCAGCGACGACCTCCCAATTAACTCACGCATGCGTCAGCGCATCACGTCCGGCGCCAGTCAGCTTTATCTGTCTCTACCTCTCTCGCCGCCGGTGACACCAGCGGCGCCGTTAGCGCTGGTGGTCTCTGCAGCAGGCCGGCGCGGCCGTCCTGACCGGCGCCGCCTCGTGCGTACAACACGCCCCGGCCCGCCCACCTACCGGCCGACCACGTCCCCCCCCCCTCCCAGCCCCTCCCCCCTCCTCTGAGCCGGTCGATCGGGCGCCCTCAGTCACACCCGCTCCATCTCGTGCACAGTCTGCCGCCGCGGCACAGCCGCTCACAATCTGCCGACCGGCGGCCCCCAGCTGCGTGCGGCGACGGCGGCGGCGGCGACAGCCCGCGCCGCCCGCCGCCGGGCCACCACCGGCTCCCGACGCGCGACTCCCGTGGTGCTGCGGCGCGGTCGCTGCGTCTGGCTGCTCGATAACGCCAGTGTTAATCGAGTGTCGCCGGCACTAAGTGGCTGCTGGCCTTTACAGCGCAGCGTGGCGAGGCGGCGGCGGCGGCGGCGGTCGGCGCTCCCGCCGCGCCGTGCGGCCGTGCAGAAAGCCGGGCGTTATCGACGACGCGAGCGTCCGACGGCGTTCCGGGCCGTTTGACGGCGGGCCATCAGTCAGCTGCCGCAATAACCGACGCCAGTGCGCCGGCCGTCATGCCGTCCGCCGACGATCTCCGCTTCTGAGGGATGGCGGCCGGCGGCGGCGCGGCGCTTATCGCCGCGCTCAGCTCGCGCGCCACCCGCGGAAGGCGCGCGTCCAGCCGGCGCCGCCCCTCCAGTGGAGACGCGCTGGCCGCAGGCTGCTCGGGCCGACTGCTAATCTGACTGATGCGCTCCGCAGCGCAGTGCCACGCGCCGTGAGCGGCCGGGCGCGCGGCGCGGTTCGTTCGTCGCCGCGCAGGGGATCCCGCTCGGCCGCCGGCCGACCGAGCGCAAAATCGCGTCTGTCCCGGTGCCGGGCCGCGCGTCGGCGAAAGTGCCCAGCGCCGGCCGGCGGGCCGCTCCAGCTTTTTGTGACGAAAAGAAATCGTGGCTCCGGCGGGCCCTGTGCCGTACCGGCCGGCCGTGGCAGATCAGGGGTCACGCCAGCAGGGCCAGGGAACTCCCGCCCCACGGCGACACTACACCGGCGCCGTCAGCAGGCGGTCTTGCCCAAAGTCATCCCTTACAACAGAAACTGCCATGCTCGAGCGATTGAGAAACTGGGCCGGAGAGACGTGGGACACAACCCCAAGTGCCATGTTACAACATTGGTCTTTGAGATAGCATTGGCGTGGTTGTGCCCTCCATTATCACAGCAGCTAGTTGCGTGTTGGTGCACTGTGACTTAACGAGCAGCAAAGCAGCTGCTGTCCTGAGACGCCCGACTGTAACATGAGCAATCTATCAGTGTCTTCATTTGTCAGAGACTAAAGAAGTTACGTCTAACAGAAGAGCTCCGTAAAAAGGTAAACAGATGGCGGTAGCTAAGATCCGGACTCCGAGACCTGGGGAGACTCTGGTTCATTGAATTAACTAAGCCTGGCTGCAGGTCGAGTCACTGAGGTCACGGTGGACTATGTCACGGACAACTCCGCTCAACCCGAAACCCGTGAAAATCGCATCACGATGGAGTATGGGTCTTGCCGTCCCAAGACCAGCCCCCAACATTAGGCCAACTTTCACCAGCACCGCAGTCGCATCCCTCGCCGTCTTTTCGCCTCCCATGCCATTACTGAAAAGGCATTTCCAACTCACCCATGCTTCGCTGTGACGTGACATTATTCAGCTCGTAACGCCGGGTAGGTATGTCGCCAGCAGTGCGCAGGTGTCAGCCGGGGCCGTTTCGACACGGTCCGGCAAGGACCGTGCGGTTGGCTGTCGCCACCGCGACACTCCGCGCGGCCGCTGTCGCCACCGCGACACTCCGCGCGGCCGCTGTCGCCACCGCGACATTCCGTGCGGCCGCTGGTGCCACCGCGACACTCCGTGCGGCCGCTGGTGCCACCGCGACACTCCGTGCGGCCGCTGTCGCCACCGCGACACTCCGCGCGGCCGCTGTCGCCACCGCGACACTCCGCGCGGCCGCTGTCGCCACCGCGACATTCCGTCGGCGCCACGTCATACTAATGCATGCCGTGGCTGCCAGGCGCGGTCGTCAGTCCATATATTACCCGACTTTCAAATGCGCTCCTTTGCCGCGATCCGCGCAGCTATGTCACGCTATGCCGCTCCTCGATGAGGACCGGTTCCAGGAAGCTTGGAGGTGTTTGAAGTCAATCAAGTAATTGGTTGGCAGGTGAAGCGAATGCGCTGCCGGGAAGCGTCGGGATGCCGCGCTTGACGCCTGCACCGAGCGTGTTCGCAGTCACGAATCAGCCCGACTGCTGTTCGCGTCTGGCCAATTATGCCCTGAGCGCGCGCGTACGCACCAATCGCCACTCCGCCGCGCCCACCGCTCTCCAACTGACCGCTTGCCGCAAACAGAACGTCGCCGGCGACGCACGGCGGCGGACACTAGGCGCGAACCGGGATCACAGGGCCCGTCAACCGGTCGGCCTAACCTCCTCACCGGTCGGCCTTCGAGCACGCGGCCCGACGCCGGCCCCCGAGCCCCCGATCCGCTCAGGACCTTGGCGTCGACGCAGCGCCGTCCCAGCGGGCGGCGCGTGACGGCCGCAGCGGCGCCGCGGCGCAGGGAGCCTGACAAGCCGCGGCGCCGCGCTGCGAGGCCCGGCGCCTGCCCGGCACGGCTTCTGCGCCGGATCCCGGAACGTGTCGGGAAGCCCGGCACGCGGCCAGCCATCAGCCGGAGCCCAGGCTGGCACCGGCCGACGACGACGACGACGGCCCTATCCCCGAACTTGAAAACGGACCATTCCAGAGGTGGGTCGTGGGGCAGAAGGGGGAAAATAATGTCGCACCCGCGGCTAAAGGCAAGGGCAGCCGACTGATCCAGGCTGGTATGCCTACCCCTCCCCAAACAGAAACACACAAACCAGTCCGCACAAAGGAAGCGGCGGCGGCACTGAGAGTCCGGTTCAGTTTCCCTCTGCCGGACAGGAAGGCCACAGCATGTTTTAAGTCATACAATGCTGCGTCGTAGCCTCCCTCTCTCTCTCCTCTCTCTCTCTCTCTCTCTCTCTCTCTCTCTCTCTCTCTCTCTCTCTCTCTCTCTCTCTCTCTCTCTCTCTCTCTCTCTCTCTTCTCTCTCTCTCTCTCTCTCTCTCTCTCTCCGGGCTCCGGGCTCCGGGCTCCGGGCTCCGGGCTCCGGGCTCCGGGCTCCGGGCTCCGGGCTCCGGGCTCCGGGCTCCGGGCTCCGGGCTCCGGGCTCCGGGCTCCGGGCTCCGGGCTCCGGGCTCCGGGCTCGGGGCTCGGGGCTCGGGGCTCGGGGCTCGGGGCTCGGGGCTCGGGGCTCGGGGCTCGGGGCTCGGGGCTCGGGGCTCGGGGCTCGGGGCTCGGGGCTCGGGGCTCGGGGCTCGGGGCTGTGGGCTCGGGGCTCGGGGCTCGGGGCTCGGGGCTCGGGGCTCCGGGCTCTCTCTCGCTTTCGCTAACTGGGAATGAAACCCGGGGTCACCAGCCCCCGAGTCCCCATCACCTCGGTCACAGGGGCGGTACTGGCCGGGCCCGGAGAGCCCGCGAGGCTTCTTCGAGCCAGAGACCGCAGCCGGACAATCGTCACGATCCACGCGGTCATCAGCTGAGCCACACGCGTGCGGGAGGACAAATTCCGGCCGGCCATTGCCGCGCTGCAGCCGAGCCCGAACTCTGCGGCAGCGGGCCATTCCAGCCGACACTGCCGCGATAGTGGCCGGAGATGGGGACGTGGTCGCGTCGGCGAATCGGCCGCGGGGCGGGTGAGGGGGGGAGGGGAGGAAGACTGCCGGGGTGCTGCTGCGCCGCGTCCAACTGCGGACGGGAGACCACCGTGGAAACTGTGACCCGGTGGGGGGTCCCAGCGGGGTCGGGTTCTCAGTCGGGGTCTCATGTGAGTGATGACGCGGGGAAGGGGCTTGTCCAGGGGCGGCCAGGAAGACCAGGAAGGGGCTGACCAACACCCACCCACCCACCCATTCACCCACCCACCCACCACCCTGATCTTCTGAGAACCTAACATTGGACCATAAATGGTCGCTGACTAGAAACAAATAACCAAAAATGGCTATCCCCCATCATTAACCAGTAACGACCAGCACTGGCCATGGGCGGACCTCTGGACTGGTCTACGTATACTGCACGGTGCGCCGCCTCTGAGCTCAGGCGGCGTCTGGTGACCGTTGTGACGCGCCAGGTATCCACCGGCACCACGAAGGGAGGCGGACACAGCCTGTAATTAGCCGACGGATCCAGCCGGCATCCGCCGGCGCCGCGCGCCATCCGTGCACGTGCGACGCTGAGTGGCGTCCGAGTGTCTGATTGCCGACTCGCTTCTCAATAAGCAGGCCGGCAGGTCGCGGCGACATCGACCGACGGCGGCAAGAAAGCAGCCAGCGCCGTCCGCCGGCGTACGGCGCGTCTCAAGGCTCGCCGCCCAGAGCGGCACGACTGCGCATCACCGCTGTGGCGGCAGCCGGCCGGGCACCACCGCTCGATCCGGCGCACCGGCGCCGCGGCCCGGCGCACCGGCCGCCCGGCCCCCAGCTCATTCGGCGCGGCGATGAATCGGGCCGCGGCGGCGTGCGGCCGGCCGGCACTCCAGCGGCGGCACGAGCCCCCCGTCGGCCAGAACAATGCTCGGTCGCTGTGATACAGAGCGCCGCGCTCGTCGGCGCGGCCGCCACCGAGCGCACCAATGACAAGCCGCTTGTGCGCGCGCAGCGTACAAAGCGATGCAGCCGGTCTGTTAGTCGGAGCGGCCGGACCACAGATCAAATGGTACGACGGGTCAAATGAATGCGACCGGTTGCTGACAAAGCAAGGTGGGATCATGAATGGCAAGCTGAGGGCGAGGTTCAGGTACACAAATCGTTCACACGAATCAATGCCGCCGCTGGCAGTGCAGCACGGCACGCTGGGGAAGCTATTACCGGCAGCCCAATCCCCCCCCCCCCCCCCCCCGACTTCAGAGGGCTGAAGAGCGCAAGGAGGCGGCACGAAGGTCACAATGAAGGCTTAATTTGGCTTGAAATTGAGCAGCACAAGTACACTCGGGTCACGCGTGTAGTCAAGGGCAAGTCGCACACCGCCAGTCGCAAGTCGTGGCATGAGCGAGCTGCACTTCCGCGGACCAGACTCGGTCCTCGTCTAGCGGAGGGCGCACCAGCCACACAGCCGCCACAGTCTCAATGCAACACTCCAACCGGCACCAATAGCAAAACGCGCGTCCATAATGAAGTGCAGAACCACACGCAAAGTTAGTCACTCACTAAAGAACCACCCATACTAATACAGACGCCAGTTGCCTGCTGGCTGCTTTCTAGCCGCTGTCCAGCCACAAGTCTATGGCGAGCAATCGGCCGTCACAGGAGCGTAACGAGCACTTCTCCTCGACTCTCCCTGACCGGCAATCAGGGCACGCAATCTGCCGGTACCCGGGGGCCCGGCGCTCCCAGCTCCGAAGAATTCTCCCAGCAAGAATACATCCCCGCCGCCATCACTGACGGCGACCGTACAAAAATTGCCTCCGGTTCGCTCCAACCCGTATGCTCGCTTCCAATCAGCATTTTAATCAGAGCCGCGTGCCCATAAAGCCGGCGCTGTGACAGTTAATTAACCCGGCGGTTGCTGTCGGCCACTGGTGGCGGCAGGCCCACCCCACACGACGCGGGCCACGGGAGGTACAGCTGGTCACCAGTGCTTTACCGGCGGCAGGCACACCCCACACGACAAAGACCCTGGGAGGTACAGCTGGTCACCAGTGCTTTACCGGCGGCAGGCACACCCCACACGACAAAGACCCTGGGAGGTACAGCTGGTCACCAGTGCTTTACCGGCGGCAGGCACGCCCCACACGACACGGGCCACGGGAGGTACAGCTGGTCACCAGTGCTCTACTGGCGGCAGGCACACCCTACACGACACGGGCCACGGGAGATACAGCTGGTCACCAGGGACTTTACCGGTGGCAGGCACACCCCACACGACACGGGCCACGGGAGGTACAGTTGGTCACCAGCAGCCTTACCGGCGGCAGGCGTGCCTCTCATAACACGGTCAGCAATACGCACACGTATGCAGCCTACACAGATACCAGGTGTAACTAACCGTACGCCGGCTACAACAGGCATAGCCAGCTCGATGACACCGGCAAAAACCACAGCAGGTACAGCCGGCCATAAGCGTACCTCACACGCCACGCAGTAAGGAGGCGCACTTCAAGCGAGGACGTGGACCACAAGCGGCACATCCAGGCGGCTACAGTCCTGCACCAGCCTGCCTTGCTTACTGGGCACACGCGTTGACCTACAAAGATGCCTCCCAGAATCACTTGTAATTCGCAAATAGGAGAATCACGTGAAGAGTGATCGCATACAGTGATGTGTGGAACCAGCCCAGGCACAAGCACAAGCTATTTGGACTTGAGTAATCGACGTGAAGCGTATCACATGAGTCAGAAAAAAAACATCAGCCGCACAAACCTTCCGACCTGAAAAGGCAACGATAGTTTCCGTTCGACTCTGACAGCCAGCAGCAGCGTCATATACCGGCAAACCTCAGCGGTGTGCATTTGCAGCGGGCACCTGGAAATCCGGTCACGCCCACGAGCAAGCGGAGGAGGCCATTGGGATTCCGCCGACAAAGTGTCCCTCAACCTTTGGCTCGAGCTCACTGAGCTGTTCGTCTTTCGATGACGGCGCGCCCTCAAAGTTCCCGTTGGTTTTGGATCCGAACACGAATGCACGGTGGAGCCAGTCGCACTTCACCACAGACCGATGGAACCGGCTTACGGCGTCTCAGCAAGTTCGCTGACTGACAGATAGGTGGGGTCTGCCAGCTAACCAGCTGGTTGCTACGTAGTCTCGGGTGTCACGGTGAGACAGGTACAATGCTGTCGGCAGATCGATTTATTTCCACAACAATTTTTGGTCACGGTGTAAGCTGCATCATCTTAAAACGCGAGACAAAGGGATCTGAGCTGGTTATGTGTGTGCCCGCAGCGGTCAGACACTACTGAGTTGGTGATGTACGTGTCCGCAGCGGCCAGACACTACTGAGCTAGTGATATGTGTGTCCGCAGCGGTCAGACACTACTGAGCTAGTGATGTATGTGCCCGGAGCGCCCCACTCACCGCTCCGCCTTCCAGCACAAGTCTCGTCCAGCAGCCGTGCCCCGCGAGAACCCCCGCGATCCAACCATATCCCTTGGCGGCCCCGTCCCTTCCAATGGCTCTTGAAGAACTCTGAGTGGCCGTATTTTGCACCAATGACTCCCGAAGAATCTCGGTGGCCGCGCCGCGTGCCACGGCGGCGTCCCGCATCCTCGGCGGTTGTATCCCGTAGCCTCGGTGTCTGTATCCCGTACCCCAGCAACAGGGCTCCGCGTCTCCAGTAGCAGCGTCCCTTGCCAACGTACCCCCAGCGGCAGCGACCCGTACCTCAGCAGCAGCAATCCGTAACCTCCCGCACCCCAGCAGTAGCGACCCGCACCCCCAGCAGGAGCGACCCGTGGCCCCAGCAGGAGGGACCCGCAGCCCCAGCAACAGCGTCCCGTACTCCCAGCAGCAGCGACCGGTAACTCCAGCAGCAGTGACCCACACCCCCAGCAGCAGCGACCCGTAACCCCAGCAACAGCGTCCCGTACTCCCAGCAGCAGCGAACCGGTAACTCCAGCAGCAGCGACCCACACCCCCAGCAGCGGCGACCGGTACCCTAGGCGGTGGCAACCGGCACACTGGCATTACCCGTTGCCCAGGCGGTCGATGCCTGTACCTTGAGGTCGCGGTGCACGACGCCCTGCTCGTGCATGAAGTCGACGGCGGCCAGCACTTGTCGGATTAGATTAGAGGCGTCCTTCTCCGTGTACGAGCCCTTCTCGACGATCCGGTCAAACAGCTCACCGCCAGTGACGCTGCAACGACAGCACGCCGGCCGGTCAGTACACTGGCCGCGGCCGCGGAGCACGGAGGAGCACGCACGGCCACGGCGAGCACGGCGCAAAAGGACAACACACCGGCCGATCGGTACACTGGCCGCGGAGCACGAAGGAGCACACAGGGTCCCAGCGGGCACGGCGCAGAACAACACACCGGCCGGCCAGGACACTGGTCGCGGCCGTGGAACACAGAGGAGCACACAGGGCCCGGCGAACACGGCGCAACGGCGAGCGCACGGCATGCAGCAGCCAGCACGGCATGCACGGCATGCAGCAGCGAGCGCGATCCCGCCAGCACGGCATGCGGTGGCGAGCGCGTCGGGCGCTGGCTCCGGTCGTGCCCAGTGCGGAACAGCGCATAGCGGGACCAAGTGAGTCGCGCACGTTTACCGGAGACGGAGCGCAGACACGCTCTCCCCCGAGCCGAACGGACGGGCTCTAGGTGCCCTCCCCACTGGCGCCCGGCGGTCCGGCTCTCACAGATTACAGCCCAACAATCGGAAAGGCCTGGGCAGAGGCATCCCGCACTGATGGCCGGCGCTTTCAGGCAATTTCTGTTTTTTTTTCAAATGGAAGACGGACGGTGAGGTTCAGTTCTACGCCATTGTCCCCTTTCTTTTTCCTTTTTGCGTTGGCCATTCCTTTTGAATAACACCAAAAATATTCTTGATTATGATAAAATCATTTCAAAAAGGCAAATGCGGCATAAGTAAATTTCGCTACCTACGTAGGGTCGGTGATCAAAACCCAACGAGAAACGCGACGGGAAGAAAGCCTGGCCGGGTGAGTGGCTGCCGGCCCAGGCGCCGCTCCCCGCCGCCCGGCTGCCGATCACGGCGCCGCTCCCCGCCGCCCGGCTGCCGATCACGGCGCTGCTCCTCGCCGCCCGGCTACCGATCACGGCGCCGCTCCCCGCCGCCCGGCTGCCGGCCCAGGCACCGCTCCCCGCAGCCCGGCTGCCGAGCACGGCGCCATGCAGATGAGCGCGCCGCCACGCTAAGCCCTGCACGAGCCCTCCATCAGGAGGGCCAAACGTAACCCCAACTAAACCTGAGCACACCGCGCCGCCTGAAAGGCGAACACGGCTTCGGCCCGCGGACCGTAAGCCGGCCGCATTGTCCGTGCAGGACGGTGCGGGCGCGGCTAAACTGAGCGAGCCGCGGTGTTTGGAGGGGTGGAGGAGAGGAGGGGAGGGAAGGGGCGCAGACGCCGGCGGCCGTCTGATAGCCGGGCAGACCACACGTCCTATGGACGATGGTGGCGGTGCCGACGGCGGACGCCACCCTTCGGTGAGCCGGTCGAGGCCGACGAACAAACCCTGACGTCACTGCCACTCTAGCAGACAAGTTCTCCTCACAGATGCGCGGCGAGAGCGGTCCAGCGCCAGTCGCGGCTCTGACACTCAATGCGCTCTCAGCGGCGTGAGGCGTTGGAGCGCCGGCTTAGACGGCAGCGCCGCTCTGGCCCCAGACAGGCGACCGGTGCGGTCCGCCGGTGACGGCGGCGCCGCCCTGGCCCCAGACAGGCGACCGGTGCGGTCCGCGGGTGACGGCAGAGCCGCTTTGGCCCCAGACAGGCGACCGGTGCGGTCCGCCGGTGACGGCAGAGCCGCTCTGGCCTCGTACAGGCGACCAGTGCGGTCGGCCGGTGGCGGCGGCGCGTGCCATCAGGCCATGCTGGATGGATCACCTGCCGACGCCGGCCACTGCTCAGTCCGACTGCGGACGACGTGCGCCGAATGGCAGCTGGAGCATCCGGGTCGTTCCTGAGAGGTTCCGGGTTCGATGCTCGGACGCCGGCCATTCAGCGGCACTGACGCAACGGTCGGCGTCTGGGGTCGCCACGCCGCATGGGCACATCGACAGAATCACGAGCTGATACGTCATCATCCGACTGACGTCATCAGCTGCCACATACACAGCTGAGGCTTCTGTTATTATTTGTCCAAGTATCCGCAGTCCGTCGTTTCCCTCATTTGCTCCGTCCAGCAGAATAACAGGCCTGGCTCGGTTACGTATCCATGCCACACCATGTGCAAACGCTGTGAAGATCCTTGAGCCAACACGAGGGCAAATGGGACAATGTTGCCCCCTCCGTGGGCCCGGAAAAAAATGCTGGACTCATAATTGAGCGACCAGGGACACGAGTACAGGCATCGTCTGGCCGACTTTGGTCTGATGCCTGGCTAAAGAGCGTCACCTGACGCAGCCGGATGTGGTGCCCAGACTTTGGTCTGATGCCGGCTAAAGAGCGTCACCTGACGCAGCCGGATGTGGTGCCCAGACTTTGGTCTGATGCTGGCTAAAGAGTGTCACCTGACGCAGCCGGATGTGGTGCCCAGACTTTGGTCTGATGCTGGCTAAAGAGTGTCACCTGACGCAGCCGGATGTGGCGCCCAGACTTTGGTCTGATGCTGGCTAAAGAGCGTCACCTGACGCAGCCGGATGTGGTGCCCAGAGCACTGGACGGCTGGTATAAGTCCTGCAGTCATTTCTGGAAAACAAGGACGGACGATGCTATCCAGTGAACCGGAACTGGAGGAAGCCATTCAGTGAACCGGAACCGGAGGAGCCCATCCAGTTAACACGCATCAAGTTCGTCTTGGCGAATATTCCAACCAATTTCACAGATGCGAACCATTCGAATTGGTCCACGCAGTTCTGGCTGCTTTTCCCTGCTAAACATTCATCCCAAACGCAACAATGCTTATCATCGGTTCTTCCCGACTGCTTTATCGATTCGGAAATGTTCCAACAGCGAAAACGGCGTTCTCTAACTGCCGGCCTTCGACGTCCATCTCGTCAGTCGTTCCAACTCACGAGCCCCGACCATCGCTGTCGACCGTCGCTACCGATCGGCCCATTTCGTCCGCCAGCCGCTGCCGGCAGCCGCTGCGGGCGCGGCGCGGCGCGGCGCGGCGCGGCGCCGGGTCCAGCCCTCCGAGCGCGCCGCGGGCCGAGGGGTCAGACCGGCCGCCGGGGCTAGCGGCACGCTGGCGCTCGCTGGAGACGCACGGCAGACGTGGCTGGAGCCAGCCGAGGGCCGGCGGGAGGAGCCAGCGCCGCCGACCGCCGACCGCCGGTCGCCTACGTCCAGATGGACGGATACCCATGTAGATGGGGGCGGGGCGGCGCACGCCGGGACCGGCAACACATAAAGACACGGGTGGGGCCGACCGAGCGTCGTCCGGTGGCTGCGGCCACCGCAGATCGATGGCCACATGTGCGACAAAAAGACGTCAGACAATAGCGGACGAGTTGCCGTGGAGGGCCTCGAACAAAAAAGGATTATGAAGCTCCTCACTGCATAGCGTTTTAAGCAGCCCCGAGAATAGGCGAGATATTCAGACAAAGGCAACATATGAGGACGGCGACTTATTTTTTACTCTGATGACTATAAAAACGCCAACAAAACGCAGAAGGAACACGCAGCCTTTGTCACATTCCGTCTGTAGAAGGCAATGCAAACGGTATGAGCTTGAAAGATAATACGCAAAAGACATTCATCCGTAGTGAAAAGCTGCCCGCGAAAGCGCTTACATCTGAGCTGACAGTTGCGAGCCCAAAGTGAAGCCGTGCAACGTCGCACAGGAGAGACCGCTGACAAATGCTACAGGCGACTCAGCTCAGACCATGGTTTGACTACAGAATCGTGTTCTGGGCGGAGATGACTCCGCGTTGCCCCGATTTGGTTATCAGTTCCTCGGTTGATCACTTGTGCCTAAGGGCTAGCAAACTGCACAGGGTCATGTAGCGCCCAAGCGACCCCCCCCCCCCCCCCACAAACCGAAAGGGAAAGCGCGTACCCAAGGACAAGCAAGAAGAGGTGCAATTTTCAAAACGGCACGGCAAGCTGCTTGCCTGAGTCATAGCGAAAACCATCAAAACTGACGACCTAGTCCCAACACTTTGCTCGCTTCCCAACCTCGCTTCCCACCGGCTCCGTGCATGGCATCGCACAAAACAGGTCAACTCTGAGTTAAAACATCAGCCAGCAAAGGCCCCGTGACCTTTTTGATTTTGTGTTCATAAAAGCCGAGGCCAGGCACTGTAGCTTAAAATATACCACATCCACGTCACGAGGAGGCGGAGTTGGCATATGGCTGCAAAAACCAACAGCCGGGCTAATCAATACGAGCAGCCAACCAAACCAAAAGGCCGCATTCAGTCTGCACTCTGCACCACGTGCCCGTCGGTGCACACTTCTCCCGGCACTCTGCACCTCATTCCCAGCAAACAAATCCCATCTGCCGGCACGCTAGACCCCACCCCCAGCGAACACAGCCGATGGGCCATATGGGCTTTTGCGTCGGTAACAGCCGCGCCACGCCGATCCGCCATCAACCTCCTGGCCTGGTTGGGTCACATGGTCCACCCCCTGTCCCGGCCGGCTCGCATGGTCCACCTCCTGGCCCGGCCGGTTCTCATGGTCCACCCCCTGTCCCGGCCGGCTCTCGGTCCACCCCTGGCCCGGCCGGCTCGCATGATTCCCCGAGTGTACAACATTCGGGCCGGCAGCGTCCCGACAGTCGCTATGCAGTCACGCAGCTCCGCAGCAGGGACAGCCGGCCCGGCCCGAGCGAGCTCCCGCAGCTCCACAGCAGGGACAGTCGGCCCGGCCCGAGCGAGCTCCCGCAGCTCCGCAGCAGAGACAGTCGGCCCGGCCCGAGCGAGCTTCCGCAGCTTCACAGCAAGGACAGTCAGCCCGGCCCGAGCGAGCTTCCGCAGCCCCTGCAGCGAGGACAGTCAATCCCTGCAGTAGGGACAGTCAGTCCCTGCAGCAGGGACGGCCAGCCGGGCCCGAGCGCGCGGCCAACAAGACCACGGCGGCACGGCTCTGTCGGATCGCAGCGAACGAATCCCTGCCGAGCGCGCTATCTGGAGAACGGCACCGATCGGTGCGATTGAAGATGATTCCTCAGGGTGGGCAGATTCAATTTAGGGGCTCTTAAAGCTCCAGTATTTATGACGCCACAA